AAGCTGGAGTTCTCCCCGCCGCCAAAGCGCTTACTCACCTAAGTAACATGGAAGGCTTCCAGGCTACTGATGGAGACAAGATCATCTCAAGCATCTGCACCCTCAAAGATGACTTCAAGTTACAGGTTTCGGAGACTCGTTCCGTAATCTACGACTTGATCAACGTCCTGATCAGTCGACCTGACGTCTCCAATGACCTGCAGTACCGTTACGGCTCCACGTCCGGTTTCATGACCGACCTTCTGCAGCTGTGTCGCAATGAGCGCGACCCCAAGTGCCTGCTCACCTGGTTCGGCATTCTGAAAACTTTCCTCGCAGATTACTCTGCCGCAAATGAGCTCGTAGAAGAAGTATTCAATGTTTTCTCGGCCTACTTCCCCATTTCTCTGAGGACGTCCCAACACCCTTCAGGAATTACGGCAGACGATTTGAAGCTTGCGCTACGAGGCTGCTTTGCCGCTCATTATCGACTTGCTTCCCTCACAATCCCTTACCTTGTCGGGCGGCTAGATTCAGGGGACTCTGTCACCGTCAATGTCAAGGTAGGTAGCCCTAGGCTAAATAGAAATGACCAGATCGTTGACCAAACCACAGTTGGATATCCTGAAGACTATCAAGGCTTGTGTCGACAATTACACGCATATCCAGCAAGGTCTTGTCCCCTACGTTGACAAGATCTGGACGAGCCTCAAGTATGAGGTTCGCAATGGCGAAATTGAAGACACAATCAAGGGAACTCTTGAAGTCATCCGAACGATAGCGGAAAAGCTGACGGGTAATGACCTTCGAGACTTCGCCCTTACCGTCCAAAGAGATTGCCTCGACGACCTGTCCAACCCGACGTACGCTACAGGGTCCGGCAAGCTCTTGGTTGCAGTTCACGGAGCCAAGCCGTCAGCTTTCGCTATTATGGTCTCTCCGACATTAACGCACGTCAAAGAAAACCTCCGCCACACTCGCTCTTCTGAACACACACGCAGCCTGCTGGCGCTTTCCAACGCCCTCCTCAGACTGCGTGCCGCACTGGTTGATCCCTCGATGACCGCAGACGATCTGCAGGCCTTCCGTTCTACTGAGCCAGCATTCGTGTCTCTTCACCGAGAAGCGTATGCGCTACCCTTTCACCAGGCTACAAACCCAGGTGCGCCCAAAGATGTTGTCAGCATTGGCCTAGAGGCCATTGAGGGCATGGGCTTGCTTGTCATCCAACCATCCGCCAGCTCAGGGTCCAAATTCGGTCTGATGCTGCGTGAGGAAGCGGCTTCAGAAATCTGTTCTGAACTTTCGACATTCCTCTTTGCTGCTCAACACGACGCCGCGTCTGAATCAACTTCTGCCCTCGTTGATCAAACCCTGTTCGCCTTGCAAAAAGCCAGTATTATTTTTCCACCAGTCTTCCCCAAGCTCGTCTCTGATAGCTCCACTGTCTGCCACTCGGCAGCCTCAAGATCGCCGGCTGAGCTTCAAGCAACACTCCACTATATCCTGCCTAAGCTGGCCTTCACTGGCTGTTCCGAGATCCCGAAGTCTGGAGAGAAAACGGAACACCTTGTGCTGCTCCTTGGCACTTTCTTGAAACAATTGAACTCAAGCTTCGATTCAGAGGCGACAGCGAATGTTTGGGTGGAGTATGCTATTGGCGTTCAAGCGGCAATGAGGTACTTCCGTGATGCCTGCGAGGCGTCGCTGGGACGGACTATCAAAACAGAGCTGCGACAAGGCAATGAACGTCAGCAAAACGAGGACGCCACTCGTGAGAAGGCACATCCTCATTTCTCAGCAGAGCGTTGGGTGCAATACGTCTCCCAACGCTTCCCTAGCCTTGTCACAGCACACACACAAGAAGCGCTTTCAGAGCTCAAGACTGGTGATATCGAGACACCGGCCGCGGAAGGTGCGGCAGATCAGCTCATCGGTGACTTCCTTCTCATCAGTCTGTTTGTCATAAGACAGCTCTACAGGCGCGCAACGGCTGTTGGTTTTCCCGAAGACAACATGAGCGCCTCGATTGCACTCAGTTCAGACTTCAAGGAGGGCAGCGACGAGGAGAAGCAGAACCAAGATCAATATCTACAACTCCTTTCCGATACTGCCAAGTTCATCGTGTCACAAATGAACCGAAGCCAGCAGGACGCCTTGTCTCTGATTGAGGATGTTCCTAGTCTCTTCCACTCAGATGATCTCATTCCTCAAGCAGATGGTCAAACCGCCTCGTATCGGGAGCTGGCACAAAAAGAATGGATATTCGACTCCAGCCTTAGCAAGACCAATCCTCCCAAGTTCCCTCTCAGCGGTCTTTCTGACGGACGTACCATCATCCTTTCTTTTGGTCTGCTAGTGCCTCTCCAACTGCCAGCATCCATCTTTGACCCGAGCAATGATGCAGGAGTACGTGTCCTTCCTTCATTAGTCCAGTGTTCTTCTAACCCATCACCAGGTCACCAAGGGAATTTTGTACCGCATCTTAGTTGCTGGTCTCTTGTTTAAAGACCACGCTGCCTCCCCACGATCTCGGGCTGTCGTTCTGGCCATATTGACCAGCCTCGCCAACAAGTGTGTCGCAGCAGACATGACTGATGTTCTCGACAGCCTCAACTCACAGATAGAGCTTGCAATCAATCCTCGTTCCGACACGAAAGCCGGACCCCCAGACAACAACCGAGCACTCATTGCGCGCCCTGTTTTTGCCGCCGTCGCCGGTATTCTGAGGAAATACAAGGGTGGCTACCTGGGCAAGGTTATCGCTGGCATCATCGAAGGGCCTGCTGATCAGAAGATTGGCCATGTTCTCGCTCGCCGAGTCGGACTACTCTTCCGTGATCAAGACTGCCTTCAGAAAGAGTACAATCCCAAGCTCTTCAGCCCCTTATGGCGGCAGCGCGCGTATGTCGAGGTCATCAAGCCCATGCTGGCCAAGGCCTGGGGTATAGGCACCAACAGCCAAGACAACACCCTCATCACGGCCAACTACAGCATAGCCGTTCTTTCTGCCACTCAGTGGCTAGACTACACGGTGTACGAGGAGGATGCTGACGACTTGATCCGTCTCATCATATGCGTTGCCCGCAACATTGGCGCCGGACCAGATCTCGAGGCCGGCCTGACAGTGCTACTGCGCATCTGCTCCAGCGCTCCTGACAAGGTGAAGCCCTTCGCGAAGAGCGTCATCCGAGAATGCAGCGCCGTGCTCGAAGGGAAGGGGGAGTCACGGACTGAGGAGTGGATGCCGGCGGGCTTCCACCAGCTGGATCCCACGGGCCGCAGCTCCAAGCAGTCGAGGCGCCTGGCAGTGAGGCTTCTGGGTGCCCTGCCAGCCTACTGTGAGCGGGGAGATCTGCTTTCTGCTGCATCGGCGGTGCGTCGCTCGCTGGCGAGGGCTTCTGGTGATAGTGTGCGAGAGATTAGACGTGCTGCGCTGGAGGCTCGGGCTGCGTGGGACCCCGTTAGATAAGAGGTTGTATACACCAAGTAGAAGAACTCTCTGTGCTTAATTTAGGAGGGTCCACCATCTTCGACATGCGTGTATCATCACAATTAACACTGAAAAGATGATGATTTTGATTTCCTTTCTTTTGACATGTTGCAGTATCCTAACCATGGACCTGTGATGCCGCGGAATATTCCAGTGCGCCCATGCGCTGCTTACGCTTTGAATAACGCCGAACATGAGTGTCTTCTCCGCTTTTGGATACTTTCTTTTGATTTTCAAAGCCTAGCACTTCCGAAAAAAAGTCAAGGAATCTTTTGGAGGACTGTCTCTGGCCCAAACCGCCCCAATACCGAATGCTCCTATGCCTTCCTCCGCTTTGTAGACTTGCTCTCTGCCGTGCTTCCCGTCGCCGAAGCCGAAGACTGAGCGGCGAGAACAGCATCGAGGACAGCAGGGTCGTACACCTCCTGCTGCTTCTCAGCCTCGGCGCCGGAGCGGACGCGGCGCGCGTCGAGCTTGCCGATGGCTGGGATACCTGTTGCGAGCATCTCCTGGAAGGGAACGACGACGAATGTGCCCTTAGAATCGAACCACTGAGTGAAGGGCTTGGCGAGATCAATGGTCGTGGAAGCGCCGGACTTGGGGGTCAGGGTGATCTTGAGGTGGTAGGTAGGGACGTTCTTGACTGTTGAAGTAGCGACGGAGATCTGGGTGGTTGGTTTGTTAGCTGACTGTGCTGAGAGCGGTTCAGTGCCCGTGGCACATTACCTTCTCGCCAGAGGGGGATGTTCCCTGGTATATCACGCCCTTCTCAACGAGCCAGATCCAGAGGGTCAGAGCGCTGTTGATGAGCGTGTAAAGGGCGACGGCAACGGCCGAGTACTGCTTTGTTGCGTCGAAGCCAAACTTGTAGTCCCAGGCGAAGCAGGCACCGGCGATGGCGAAGGCGGTATAGCCAAGGGCGAGACGGATATCAACTAGCGTATGGGACTGAGTAAACTTGAGAGAGTTGAGGTAGTTGGGAATCGCGTCGTCTGAGGTGTTCTTGAGATCTGAATAAATCCGGGTTAGTGAGAGTCCTAGAGCTACCGTGGTGCAAGTGGTGACCTCACCCGCCAGGTTGTGAACGGTTATTCTTTCTTCGGACGACATGATTGCTAGTCTCTGGAGCAGCAATGACGAGATATTTGGAGAGGTGTGTCGCAGTGCGCTTGGGCCAAAGCCGTGTTCTGTGCTGCGGTTTAGAAGAAGACCAGAGTGACAGACAGTGAAGCATGTCTAAGCTCCAGGCTGGCCTGTCGCGATGTCTTGGTGTACCTACCTGGCACCGTGCCCCTGCTGCAGTTCGGCAAGCGGGGTGCTTGACCCAATGCGGACTAGCGCCGTCGGTGTTGCTGCGTAGGGTGCCAAAGCTGGCCACAAGGCAAAGAGCAGCTCCAACCGCAACTCCAACGTCGTGTTTCCGAATTGCCCGCCAGCTTCCGACTTCTCGACGTGCCGGGCCTCATATCGCTGCGCAACATACTGCACCTCATTTGAGTGAAGAGGGAAGCTCATTGAATCGAAAGCCATGGCTCAACCACCCGTTCAAACGATCCATCGGGATCCCCAGCTCTTGTGCGCATCCCCGCTCGATGCGTCTTTCTGGCGATGCTAACCATTGACTCTAGCTACTGGATCCTTGTACCAATCACCATCGTCATGATTCTTACTGGTATTCTCCGTCACTATGCCGCCACTCTGCTTGCCAACGCACCCAAAGTCATCGACAAGCCGACAATGAAGGAACAGCGCGCCATGATCCACGGCCAGTCCGTCCGCAACCACCACCACGTCCTGTCGAAGAAGTCATTTGAGGCGCGCCGCGAGCAGCTCATCTCTTCATACGAATCAGGCGCTTACCTCAAGAACCCCGACAGCAAGGGCCAGCCCCCTGCCAACCCTCTGTCCGATCCGAGTGCCATGGATGGCATGATGGGTATGATGAAGAACAACATGGCCATGATCATTCCCAACACCCTCATCATGAGCTGGATCAATGCTTTCTTCAGCGGATACGTTATCAGTATGGCGCACCTGAACTTGAACCAATCGGTCGCATGCTAATATCTCACAGTGAAACTGCCTTTCCCCATCACCATCAAGTTCAAGAGCATGCTGCAGTCTGGCGTCGCGACAAAGGACCTAGATCCCCGCTGGATGTCTAGCATTTCGTGGTACTTCCTCTGTATCTTTGGTCTTCAGTCTGTCTTCGTTTTCCTCTTGGGCAGTGACAACGGTAAGCATGGTTGGATTCCTCTGGTTTCGATGCAATAATTAATCACTGACATGTCCCAGCCGCCAGCCAGATGGCCCAGCAAATGGGCCAGATGGGACCCCCACAAAACGCCCAGATGTTTGGTCCTGGACAGGACCCTGACAAGCTCTTTCAGGGTGAGGCTGAGAACATCGCCGTTGTTGAACATTACTCTGTCCTCGATGAAGTTGAGCAGAGGCTGCTCCAGGGTATCAGAACATAGAAACTCATAGACAAATCAAATCCGTGCCAGCCCAATTCCGCCGCCAGCTATGCGTGCCCCCTTCAAACAGCCTGTTCCTGCTCCTCGTTTCCTTCGCCATCCCACCAAAGGCAGACACCCAGTCCATCCATGGCCATGGAGCCCTTGATCTTGTAGGGCGTTGGGAGTACCTCCTCGTCCGACTGGCTTGGACCCAGCGGTGCCTGGTCGTGCCATTCCTCGTCGATGACCTGGAAGCGGACCATTTCGTGAATGTCGTAGAACAGCTGCGTTTCCTCGTCGCAGTTCCATATCCAGATCTGATCCCGGTGGTTGAACTCGGCTCCCTCGGGAAGATCCTCAAAGGGGACGAAGATGTCGTCAAAGAAGTCAGTGCGGACTGTTTTCGGTGTTAGAATCGAATCCTAAGCCTCAGCTAGCAGTGGGACTCACGGTTGATGCCCGCTGGAGTCGCACTTCGAATACGGCCGAGCATGACCTCACCCTTGAAAGGCCGGAAAACGACGAGGCGAAACTCGACTAAAGGCTGTCAGTCGTCGTTCTTTGAACCTAGAGAACGCCGTTTTTACCATTCACGTTTACCAAGCCTGTGCCATGGCCGATAAGCCCCTCTGAGGTCCACAGAAGATCATAAAGGCAGATGCAAAGTCCGATTTTCTGAATGACACGGTTTGCATACTTGGCGTTGATGTTGTCTTCAATGGCCACGATGCTTCGTTTTTTAAAATCGTCGGGTGCGATCTGAACCAGATCCGCGATTTTGGTCTACCGAGTGACAGTCAGAATCGTACCCTTGCGGGAAGAAAAAAAAGGCCTTCTGGAAGACTCACGAGAATGAACATTTCAGCGGGTGGGGGGATTATCGTCCACAAAGTCCACAAGGCGCTACATCCATAGCAAATCGCCAGAAAAAAGACTCTTGGGTCTTGACGGAGAATGAACACGTAAATATGGCAGGGCAGTAAGGTCAATTGAAGATCGTGGTGAATGAGATGCTGATTCTGAAGACGGAAGGTCGGCAGAATCGTGAACGACACCGACCCCACTCTGACCGCCTGCTTAACATAGAAATCAAAGTCGTCCTGTATGGGGCCCTGCACCCACTGACCTTCAGTATGCGCTAGCGCTATGCAGGAAAAGGCACATCTCCACCAAGCCGCGACACCTCCTGTCCGTGTTCCTCGAGTCGGAATCTGCCAGCTAATGTTGCTTTCCTTTCATTCAACCAATTCATCATCCACAGCTGCTCAATCTTCACCACCGCCTCCTTCGAACTGGCAAGCTTTGAGCCCAGGCACTGCCCTGTGAACAGTTGTTTCGTCACTCCCTCGTGGCCTATATTACAGGGAAAGCCCGAGCAGCATTTCAGGCTTCGAGAGTCCGAAGAACCGTCACACAGCCTCGCCGCCTGATTGCATTCTGGCTCGCTTGCCTGTCTTTCGGCACTCTTTCGAACCCAAACGCCTCGAAGCTGTGGATTCATTTCTTGGTTCTCAAGGATCTTCTGGAGGCCTTAGTTGGCCGCGTTTCAACACGATAGCCCGCCATGTCGGGCTACAACTACGGTCCTCCGCCTCCACCCCCCCAGGCATCACAGTCGGGACACGCTGGCTATAGCCATCATGGTGCCCAATACCAGCATAGCGGACCTCGTAATGGCGGTTCTCCGGCTGGTAGGGGTCGAGCTGGGTATCCCGCTGGCGGTCGCCCAGAGTACACACCGACACCTCCCCATTACGAGTACGGCGGCCACAGCCAGCAACAACATTACGCACCTCATGCCGCTGGCTATCCTGCTCCTCAACTCCCCCCCGGGAATTACCCTCCACAGCATCAGCAATGGCCTCAAGGTCATACACCGACGCCTACACAGCACCAGCCCCATGCGCCAGCGCCACTCTCGACTGCAAACTACCATCCGAACTATGCTCCCCAGGCATACGCACATTCCCAGCCTCCTGCACACCAGCCAGCCTACGGCGGTCCCCCCACCGCACAACAGCAACAACAATATCATTACGCGGCACCTCCCCCATACAACCCGCAGCAGGGCTGGGCGGGTCACGACCGATCTCAGCCTCCATACGGCGGTGGACATCATCGGGGCGGATACGGAAGTGACAGGAACGCATCGAGGGCTCCAAGTTCGGGAGACCAGGCTCGTGTCGAGTATCCTACCCCAGGCATGCAGCCTCAAGTGAGCGGCAGCTATCCTCAGCCTTACCCTGGCCCAGATCCTCGTGCCCAAGGCGCGTACCCCCAAGCCCCTCACCACCAACCCCAATATCATGCCTACCCACCTGCTCCCCCTCCTCCTTCACACGTTTCAACTCCTCATTCCGGTCGTGACCACCATAACAAGCAAGACGGACATCACTCCGGACGTGGCAGGGGCGGCTTCCGTGGCGGTGGTGGCAACATGCGAGGCAAAGGCAATCACCATGGCGGCGATAAGACTCGACCGCGACATGGAGGACAACGTCCTGATGGCCCATCGCATTCTCACAAGCAAGACTCCAATGCTTCTGGGAAGAAGAAGAAGAGGAAGACCAACACGCTCGGGCTCACACCGGGTCAAGACTCGGAATCTGAGGATGACGAGAAAGAAGAGGAGACACTCCGCCAACTCATCGGTCAAGATGCTCTTCAGTAGGTGATTTCCTTTCCTGTTTGGTCTTTCCAGAGCGTTCTTAACACCATGGCCAGAGTCAGTGATATTGCTTCATACATTGCGGACAGAAGAAAAAATTTCCCCACTGCTGCCCGTTCAAAGGCCAAGAAGGATGCCGAGGTGGCAAACAATCAACATGGCGACAAACGCGCAGCTGCTCTTGAAAGGCAAGAAAAGATGGCTCAGAAGCTGAGAAAGCAACTCGAAATGGTTGAGTCGTCCATCAAACGGAAGCGCGAGCAGCAAGACGAGGGTGACGAGATGAGGGACAGTCCTGTTCTCTCTGATGTGGGTTCAGGTGACGACCAGCCCGAAGTTTTGTCGACTCGCTCGCAGCATCTTCCGGCGCCGCCTCCTCCAGCGAAGAAGGCAGATGTCAGCAAGCACTGCAAGTATTATTCCACCGGTGGTACATGCGGCAAGAAGGGCAAGTGCCGCTTCGTCCATGACCCTGAAGTCAGAGAAGCGGCCATGAAAGAGCGCGAAGCCAATAACGGCAACCTGACGATCCAGCAACGTCTGGTCCTCAACGACAAGGACCAGGAAGATCTTACTGTCCTGCGATCTATTCAGTATCTACGAGAAAAGGGCGTAATCTCTGAGCAAAAGAATGCCGAAGCTGCCGCCGCCAATAGTCAGCACTCTGGTGCGGCGGAACAACGGGCACCTCAAAGCGAAAGCACGCTTCCTGCGGCCCACTCATCGCTGCCCCGGGCACCTGTTCGACCAAAGCATGGCCTACCGCCGCATAACCCACCCCCTTCTGCTCTGCAGATTGCGAAGACCGGCGGCAAGCCCCAGTACAAGGGGTGGAACCTTAGTGGATATGGTAACTCTGGTTTGAAGTCGGAGGATCTTCCCTAGTCAAAGAGCGAAACATGAATTCTTGGGCCTGCAATGCTGACCAGGACACCCTGAGTTGTAGTGACCTCTGAACAGGGTGCAGCGAGTTTGTTTCCATCTGCTGTCGCCGCTCATTTTAAGCTTGTTCCCTCTAAACCCCGCTCACCAGGCTCTCCCATCAATTGGCGGAGAAGTAGTCCTGGCTAGAGCACTACCAGTGTATTTTGTATTGGCATGATTTATGTACTACCTCCTCAACACAAGCTTCAAATGATTCGCCGGCCCGGTTTGTGCGTGATCAGAAGCCTGTCCTTGCAACCAGGAATGTATTTTTGCGGGTTATAGAACCTCACAGGATTGGATCTGGGTACGAGCCATGTATAGAAACGCAAAGTTTGCGGTCGTTGATCTAGTTTCGACCTTAGCGGCCTTGCATTGTTCCAGGAGTTGTGGACAGGATGCATCCTTCTGTGTATCGCCATGTGCGTTTACCGTGGCAAAGTTGCCAGCGGTCGGGAGACACAGAGACAGACCACAGACACGTGGCAGGCCGGGGACCCCAAGTGCTAGTGGATCAGACGTCGAGACGAACCTTCCTGTCTTGACTGGGGCGGTCGTCACTATCTACGTTTGGTTGATACAATGCTTCATTTGCGGGCGATACAGGTACAATCACGTTGGTACACTCAGGCACGCCAACCACCCGTGGAGACTACTGATACGAGGTTTAATTTGTGACAAGATAACTGAGCAGGCTGGAAGATGAATACAGTTGACTCTGACGACGGCAATCCCACTTGCAAGCAGCGGCGATATCTGGACGTATAGTCCAGCCCATATCACGGCACGAATGTGAATCACGAGTCAAAGAAGTTGTTGTGGGCAAACCAAATACATAACAGTTTATCCAATGCAGCCGATCCTGCTAAGCAAAAAACCTATGAATGCCTATCTACCGAGACAACGCGGCAAACGCCCCACGTTTGATGTACTTCCCAACAAAACCTGCCCCTCCCCCTTATCGCCCCCTATTCCCAGCTGCAGCATGCGCGTTGTTGCGCAAAAGCAAAATACAGGAATGGAAAGTATGAATTCTTGGTGCAAAAAAAAGCAAGGACAACGCCGTCGCTGATGGATGAGATGGGGTGGGTATGATAATCAAGAGGGCGTAACGATGCTGAACCGCATGCAGGAGGAGATGCCGTTTCAACGGCGGTTCCGCTGCTGCTCGAGGAATTTGCGCTTTCGTTCCTCCTTTTCGGCCTTGAGGCGCTTCTCGAGTCGCTCCTGTTCAATATCCTCCCGCCGCGCGGCACGCTCGGCCTCGGCCTCCTCGTCGTAAATGTCATCCATGCCGGCTTCCATGTCGGATTCAGAGCCCGAATCATAACGATAGCGAGGGCCGCCCATGTCGTCCTCTTCCTCGTCATCATAGTCGATGAAGTCGTCCATCTCCTCGTCCTCGTCTTCATCGTAGCGGGAGCGCTTGGAGGAGCCACCATAGCGGGGCGCTGTGCGGGGGTTGAGGAGAGCGCCGCCAGGAGCTGCAGGTTTCGCCTTGGAAGTGGTGCCAGGACGGGGCCGGGCTGTGCCAGTGTAGCCGGTCGTGGCAACAGCGGCCTTCTTGATCTTCTTCTCTTCAACAGGAGGAGCTCGCTTGTCCTTTCCTCGGCCAGAAACGCTGCTATGAGGGTCCTTGGTAGCGATATTCCGCTGGTGTGGTGGGCCTCCTGGTCGTGATGTGCCGTTTGTTGGGCGAGCCGAGCCGTTGGTCGGCCGAGAAGGACCATTGGCGGGCCTTGCAGAACCCTTGAACTTGGATGATGTCCTGGCTAGGGGTTGTTTGGCATCCTTAGCCGGCTCTTCCCTTTCCTTCCTACCAACACCCCTTTCCGTGACCTTGTGCTGGATTTTCCCGACTTGTCCCATGGTGGATTGAGCTTTTTGGGCCCGAGCCATGATCTCCGCGAATGAACCTTTCTTTGGCGGGGCAGCTTTTACCGCTGGCGCCGCGGCCGCCGGCGTTGGCCGGCTGGCAGGTAGTTTCGCTGCGCTTGCTCCATTCGATGATCTGGCCGGGGCCGAGCCGGCTTTGACAGCGGAACTATATGTAGGTTTTGATACGGCGGTCGGTCGATTGCCAGCGGTGCCCTTGTACGGGGTTGGGGGTGCCTTGTCCGTGAGAGGTCGAGTGGATGTCGCTGAACCTCCCGAGGCTACCGGCGTAGTCCTCGGGGTCTTTGAGGCCGCAGGCCGCAACTCCTCATCGGCTTTGCGCTTGAGGTTGCTATTCGCTCGCGGCAGCGGCGGCGTCGAGGATGGGCGTGACGAGTCGCCACTGATGGAGGCGAGCAAATCTCCGATCTGGCCACATTCGTTAGTCACATGAACAGCGCCACCCAGCCCATCTTCATCTCCGCTCCCGCAGAAGTCACTCACCGGCATGGCGGCTGACTGTGTGACGAGGTCCCGTCAAGCAACTGTGATGGGTTGCGCGCAGTCAAAGCCAGCAACTATGATGTCCTCGTTTGAGTCATCTGGCTGGGAGAACGGAAGTCGTAGACAGCGGCTCGCGATTAGGGTGTCTCTAGCCGCAGCGGATATTTCGTATATGTTTCGAGACGATCCGTGATCAAATCAGACTTGAAAGTCGCTGTTTTCAATGTGTAGAGTATTTTCGAGGTCGTGAAAGGCGTTGGACGGGCGGGAGGAACGTTGGCAGGCTTCAAAGACTTCACGCGGGCGGCGAGGTGGGCAAGTTTATATGTGCCCAGTAGCGTAGAGGGCGAAATCAGCGGAAATGCACAGACCATCTTGGGAAGGCTCGTTCGGCCGGCCCCCTTGGGGTGTCCTTCTGCGCCTGGCCGTCTGGATACAGTCTGGGCCAGCAATCGGGGTGCCAATTACCTAACTATTATCAAGGATTTGTATTAGTCGGGGCATCAAGCGTTGCAGTGGGGCAATGTGCTGAGAATGACAAACCGCGTGGCTTGTGCTTGGAGTGTTTCCAGCCACATGTGACACCCCACCAATGGCGCAGCTTTCGCCCTAAGGGTCGGCTATTTTGGTGTGCCCACAGAGTCACCTTGCGACAAAACTCGCTCCGCCTGGAACTTTTCGCTGCAACTTCCTGTCCGGTCTTACCGAAAAAAATAACCACCCATCAACCCCTCGGACTCGAAGATTCAGTCTCCGCCCAACTCGCGGTTAAATTGATTGACCTCTCGTGTTCTTTACCACGTCCATCTGTTAGTACTTGCCCTGCCACTGCAACCAGCTCTGTCGCATTCTCGACATCTTTCGCAAACGACCAAGCTAATTCGTCTTCTCGTCGCATAGACACAAATTCAAGATGAAGCACCTCGCGGCTTACCTCCTCCTCACCCTCGGTGGCAACACCTCTCCCTCCGCCGCTGATGTCAAGGCCGTCCTTGAGTCTGTCGGTGCTGAGGTCGAGCAGGAGCGTCTTGACCAGCTTCTCTCCGAGCTCGAGGGCAAGGACATCAACGAGGTATGTCGTCTCATCGCTTGGGACGTTTTCTTTCGGGTGTTGTATAACTTTGCTGACATGCATCACAGCTCATCGCTGAGGGCTCCAACAAGCTCGCCTCCGTCCCCTCGGGCGGTGCTGGCGGTGCTGCCCCCGCTGCTGGTGGCGCTGCTGCCGCCGGCGGTGACGCTCCCGCGGAGGAGGCCAAGGAGGAGGGTACGTTTTTTATTCGCACACAACCTGCTACGAGGCCGACTCAATTGCTAACTATCAACAGAGAAGGAGGAGTCCGACGACGACATGGGCTTCGGTCTCTTCGATTAAATACCCTTCCCACGACTTCCACGATTGGACGGGCCTCCGAATTTTCTCAAAAAAGCTACGCATGGGATGGATCAGGTGTTCACACGTCTTCGGCATGGGGGTATCTGGTCTCGACTCTGTTTCGACGTGTCTCGCGGCACGTAGAGCGTTCGTCTAGTTATGAACAATCAAAAGTCTGGCGACTTTTCTGAGCATCGGCTACGGCCTCATTTCTTACTGCCGTGACATGACTTGGGGTGCTCATATCTACGTCCGGGTCTGCTAGCCCAACTGAAAGATGTGGATGCAATGCCGTACAATGATGGGCAATCTGTGACGGACACTCTCGTCAATCGTTCCGCTCCATTCTTCGGCTGGTCCCAGTATAGATGCATGGCATGCCTCAGGCCCTTGAAGTCGAAAACCACCTGTGATTATGTAAGGGAGACACATTGATCCCTCGCCAATGATATGCTGAGCTCTGGCGATATGGCTCCACATGCTTTCTGTTGTCCCAGCAACAGAGCAGCTGAGTGATTGGTTAATATGATTCCACCCAAATACTCGGCATGGACAGGGAACAAGCAGGCATGTCCAACCGCGATACAAGTTCCCATGACGCGCCACATAAAGTAATTTCTCCCCATTCTAATCTTCAGAACCATGGGTACGAATAACGCGTGAACGATAGTGCAGTTTTGGTCGATTCAGTCTTCTACTCTGCTAGCATTGGGACGTTTGGTGAAGAGGAGGAACGCGTTACGCCCATTTCAGCAATATCGAATCTCACGACAACAAAACCTGACATGGCGACCGCCTCTCCTACACCGATGGGCATGTCCCAGGGCTCTGGGCTCGTTCGGAGAACATCACAACGTCAAGCTCTTCGACGCCCTGCATCACGACCTGTCCTTGGTCGTACCGAATCCAACCCCGTGGCCTCAGCTGGGACAACCGCGTCGAAAAAGGAGGCCCAAAACTACACGCTCAACGACAGCTCCGACGACGAGATTCCAGTGCCCATGAAACTGAGTGCTCTCACCAAAGCACTTCTCGGCGGCCCTCCCGAACAGCAAGCAGCCTCCCCGCCACGAACGCGACGCCGCGTCAGCAACCTCGCGGCATCCTTCTCTTCTGCCACAGAGGAGCGCCGACATTTACGATCGGGGAGTGTTCACGCGTATGAATCAAAGTCGTCACTGCCAACTTCACCACACAGAAGCAAAGAAAGCAAAGAAAACAGTCCCGTTCGTAAACGGGTCATCAGACTCAGCAACACTCCGAAAAGCCTCGGTCAATTGTCCCAACCCAAGCGACGGTCGACCTCCCTCTCCCGCTCTACACAGCGCAGCCGAACGTCCAGCCGGCCCGAAAGCCGCGATCAATCATCCGACGAGAAGCAAGCGGAGCCCCAGCAGGACGTGAACACTCCGGCTCAGGGCATTCGCGTTGTCCGAATTGCTGCTGGATCTTCCGGCAACAGGGGTAGAGTCAACAGCGCTTCGGCTCATTTGCGACGATCAGGATCGCATATGGATGCAGACTACCCGGAAGAACCGGCTACCATTAGTCGGAATGGTGGCGCTTCAAATCAAGGCAGCGAATCGCGACAGGCCTCAAATGGCTCGAGAGCTTCCAGGCCCGAGGACAATCTTGCTCTTCAAAGCTCGATGAGGGTCAAGCGTGTCGGCAAGGTTCCGGGCAGCTTTCTCAGTGGCCCTGCTCGACGCGGACGGAGGAGACAGAGCGAGGAGGAGGCTGAGGCAAATGGAGAAGGTGAAGGTCTGATTGCCAGCCACGACCTCGATCAAGAGCAAGCAGAAATGGATCAAGAGCCGGCAGCTTCGTTTTACGGCAACGGCCGTGAATCTGGCAGCCCTGCTCCGCTGAGCAACTCAGCAAGGGCTTCGCATCGCAGGCATGCGTCGCAGGCGGACCTTTTGGAATCTGCTGCTAGGCCAACGCCCCGCGAGAGAAACGGCCACAAGCTTGAAGGACTCCCTGCGAGGCTCCCGGCGCCCCGCCCCGAGATTCCTTCGGGCCAGGAGAACGAGGCGCCTCCAACTTTCAAGCGGTCCAAGCCTGCTGTCCACGTCGCCCCGGAGAAGGAGCTAGACATTCCTAAGCGACCTGCGAGCGCCGACGTTGGTAGCGGCCGTCCTGCTGCCTCTCCAGAGAGGAAGCCCCTGGCTGCGCTAGGCGGAAACACACCTCATCGTCCAGCACCTCCGCCTCCTCCACCCAAGATGACCGTCCTCCAGGCTGCCACAACGTCCGCTGGTGCGGCAACTACATCACATGGCAAGCAGAGGCGCAATATCCTCCGTGTCAATGGCAAGTCGTACACGCGGCTCGACTGTGTGGGACGAGGTGGCAGCGCCAAGGTGTACCGCGTCACTGCGGAGAACGGTGCTATTTTCGCTCTGAAGCGTGTTTCTTTGGAGCAGGCGGACGAGATGGCCATACGAGGCTTCAAGGGCGAGATCGATCTTCTCAACAAGCTCAAGCCTGTTGATCGAGTCATCAGCCTCTTCGACTACGAGATGAACGACGAGAAAAGGTCGTTGACTTTGGTAAGCGAGCTTTCTGTCATCTATACCTAACGCAGCACTGACTTTTGCAGCTCATGGAATACGGCGAGCTAGATCTCAATTCTCTTCTGAGAAGTCGACAGAATCCCGAGACCGCCAGGTTCGATCCAGTCTTTGTCCGATATTACTGGAAAGAGATGCTCGAGTGTCTCCTAGCGGTTCACCAATACGATGTCGTACATTCAGATCTGAAGCCGGCGAACTTCGTCCTCGTCAAGGGCTGCCTGAAACTTATCGACTTTGGTATCGCCAACGCCATCCAAACTGATGAAACGGTCAACGTCCACCGCGAAACCCAGATCGGAACGCCAAACTACATGTCGCCAGAGTCTTTAATGGACTTCAACGCTTCTCATGGCGGACGTGCTGCTGGCCGACCCAAATTGATGAAGCTCGGAAAGCCCAGCGATGTTTGGTCTCTGGGTTGCATTCTTTACCAGCTAGTCTACGGCATACCTCCATTCGGTCATATCGCGAACCACCTATCGCGCTGCCAGGCCATCATTGATTGGGACCACGCCATCGAGTTTCCCAGCCGTGCTGTGGGTGGTGTTCTGGTTCCCCCATCGCTCCTCCGTACAATGAAGCGGTGCCTCAACCGGGAAGTTCATCTGCGCCCAACATGCGAAGAACTTCTGCATGAGACGGATCCTTTCTTGTATCCGGTCGAGCTTCACGACAAGGCACTCCCGATCGACGAGGAACTGCTTGGTAGAATCATTCAGAGCGTCGTCACAAGGTGCCGCGAGCGCATGCCCACCGAGGCAGAAGCCAGGTCCGTCTGGCCAGGGGCCTATTGGCAAAGTGTCAAGAAGGCGACCGACAATAGCAGCAAGTCATGACACGAATTGACGCACAAGGTGGTTGAATGTTGGATACGTGTCAGCAGAAACCAGGGGTGGTTGGCAGATTCAGGCGTTGCACTCTTCTCTTTCATTTATTCTTTCACGAAGCCTGATGGATGTTCATAGCTATTGGTGTTTTTGGGGGACCTGGATCCCAGCTCGACCGGTTTCGTCGGGCGTGGGCAGTGTCCGGAGTTGGTTTTCCTGTTACAAACAGCCGGATTCCCAGAGGCCATACTGCCTCCAGTTATTGCAGATTGTCAATTCAGAACTGGCGTTGTCGCCTAGCTTTGCTTGGCTAAATTCGAATACCCAACATCTTTCGAGCGATACATCATTGACGGTGGAATATCCCTGTCATTTATTGAAAATGTTGCGTTGTTTTTGCTATGATACATCCAGCTCAGGCTGCAGAGTAATACACGATGCATCCCCTTTCTCATGCACGATGAGTATCTTACACAGTCTCTCTCTCCGCCTCACCCCCTTCGGTTCGTTATGTGCACGAAATACAGCACTTGGTCCTCGAACCTGCTGGACAGCTTCATCCGGCAGAGGGTTTCGGACCCGCGGCTCTGTGCTCAGCCCTCAATCTCCTCGAGCCCCTTGATCCTCAGCTCGCTAACGGCGAGCGTCGTGAAGCGGTGCTGGCTCCTGACGCGCTGGGCGCGCCTCGTGCGCTGCTTCTTCTTGATCTTGATGCGGACGGGCTCGAGTTCCGACCCTGTGACGACGGCGCGACACTCGAAGAGGCGCTCGTCAATGTAGGGGCTGCCCTTGAGGGTGAAGTCGCGGCTGCCGATGACGGAGGCGCAGTCGAGGCGGAGGACGTCGCCGGGGACGACGCCCGGCATGCGGAAGGGGAGGCGAATGGCGTCGCCGGGCTGCACGAGGTAGGGGCGGCCGTGGATGTGGAAGGTGATGTAGTGCGAAGGCTGGGCGGCAAGAAGCGGGAGGAGCTGGCGGACCGAGTCGGTAATGGGGGCGGGCTGGGTGGCGGGAGCCTGCTTGGGGTAGAGGGCAAGAGGGTCGGCCTTGGCGGCCTGCTGGGCTATTGTCGTGGCGGCCTGGGAGGGAATGGCATCCTGTGTCGGCTCGATGATGGGCGTTGTGGTGTTGAAGGCGCGGGCGCGGATCGGGAGGAGAAAGGTCGGCGGGAGGCGGGTGAAGGGTGCCCGGAGCTCCAAGGCGGAGCGCAGAAGTGCCCTACTCATGACTGTGGGTGGTGCGGCTGGGCGAAATGGACGGGTTGCGCGTCCAATTGCTTCAAGATGCCGAGTGTTCACGCGACTGTCGTGAAGTCCTAGAAAACTTTCGAGGCTGGAGGTCCAACAGGAGATCCCCACTTTAATCCGCAGCCCAGGTGAGGTACCCACCACGAAACATTCGAAGTCACGTGGTGCGTCACAGCCAGACTCTTTGTGATGATGAGCAGATGACGGGTTATACTCCGGGTGCGTGAGATGGAACGAGTATGCTTTAATTTTCTGCATGATCAGTCAAGGTGAGAGATTTCAAATTGGGTTATTTTACAGCTTCCTTGCCGTTTGCCAATTTATCACCTCATGTTTAACTGGGCCAATCTGTCATTGTCATCAGGTCTCAAAAAGGTGTTCCTCCTCACAGCCTCCGTTTAATATATTTGTCAACTCCTTCAAATATAGGCCATGTCCCAATGTCAAAAACCTTGTAGCCAAGTTTTTGACGCAAATTACTCAGCCGATGGTCGAAAGGATCCATTGGGCTGAAGGCATAATATATGGCGGCACAACGTCCACAACAACATTTCGCTTGAGTTTAAAACCTCAAGTCTGCTGGCATTGCTCCGGGCCAGGGTTGTCGGTCTCTTGCTAGATGGTGGGGCCGACCTGAACGCAGAGGTTGAAGCCGGATACACATTTTTGCATGTGGCCACGCTTATGGGCTTCGAGACGGATGTTCCGCTGTTGCTCCAAAGAGGAACGGGCGCAAGGTTAGAGATCCAGTCGACTCCAGGAAGGCAATATGAGGTATCGTGGCCATGATAAAAGCAGGAGGATGTAAATGAAAGTGACAAGGTGGCAATAAGTGCCGTGAATCGCGTGTTTGCTGTAGCCTCGAACAATTTACTGCTGTGATCAAGTACAACCCAATTCAAATCAGCCCTGACTCACCAAGGTCGACAGCATATGACGCAAGAGCAACAAACAGAACTTTCTTATTGCATGGGTTGCTGAAAGGACTCTAAGTTCTGAAAGTGGCCAAGATAAGCTCCATTCGAAATTCAATTTGCTACTTGCATCACTGTTCTTTTTCTGGCTCCAAGGCTTCTGGCTTCAAACCATACATTTTGACTGGGAACAGCTTCTCTGCATTGGCTGGATTCATTCCCTTTTGAATCTCAACCTTGACGATACGCAATCCCGCCTGCTTGAATAGTTTTCGGAATTTCGCATCGCCCCTTTCCTTGATTAGCTACGGATATCGAGACCAGCATACGAACTTACCGTGTAACACCACCGTCCTCATCATCATATATGTCCTGTCCGCTTGTACTGATGTTTTCTTTGATAACAATCAATCCGTCAGGACTCTTCAGTGCTGATTTACAATGTCCGAGGTGCTCCAAGACTTCTTCATCTGTAAGGTATCCAAGACACCATTGGATCCAGACAAGGCCATAGGAAACAAGTGGATCTGGCCGCCATGCGCTCATACTGATATTCTGAATCGAACGAATGCCTGGTTTTCCGTGCAACGCGAGGGTAAATTTAGGAATTGGTTCGATGATGTCAACCTCTTTGGCCACGTGGAGAAGTAGACCCTCGGTAACCCTGCCGATCCTGTGAGGAGGTTCAGCAAATTCCCGAAATATTGAACCCTTTGCTTAGATCTGCTGTACTTACCCTGCGCCTCCTTCAAGCGCATTTTCTACGATCTGCCGGCCATTTTTTTCTCCAATTCCCAACTTGGCCAAAAAGCTCCGGGATCCATGTAGATCAACCTTGTTAATATTGGCATAGCCCTTCCACTTTGGAACTCCACCAAGCATGCCACAATCGTCAGCGCTAACATCGCCCCAATACTTCAAAGCTAGATCGTAGTCGACAGAACCGTGGCTTGTGGGAGCCGAGCTCTCTGTTGCTTGTGGTGGGACCATGTTGCTGTTGCTCATGCAATAGAGGTTGATGAGCTGGCTGGGAGGGTTGTGAGTGAGCAAAATTCAACAGTGCTTGGTGAACCGCCCCAGTTTCTGGCTTCACCCAGACGCCATGGTACGTCAAAGCCTTGGTGCGCTGGGCTGCATACTGCCTGCCCGGGTGCCTCCAATTTTTCCCCACAAACGTAGGCAGATGCTCGCCCATTTGCCGAAGATTTTCCGAACAGCTACGCAACCATTCCCCTCTTACTTTCTTCCTCAAGGGGGGATTAGTGATGCAGGAAGGCTTCGCGACGGAAAGGGAAGTCCTCTCAATGGACACGGCTAAGAATCCGAGGTCACTCTGAGACCATAAGTTGCAGGACGGTCTTCTTCCGAGAACAGTTGCGAGATGATTATAAATGTCCGTATCGAGACCAGAGCGCCAGTGGGAATGCTATTTGAGTCATGAATATCCTCCGAGAAGTAAGGTACACGACAATGGGAACGAGTTCGCGCAGCAGAACGCCACCGACATCAAGCAAAGCACGGTAAATGTGAGAGCCGCCAATGCTGCCGCCAACGAGGCACTGTAAGCGACCAAGGTAACTCTCAAGGACAATAATGCAAGCTTGATATATGCGGGCTGGCTTTGGGTCGCTAAGCACTTCGAGGGGCCAAGGAACACGTTCGAGAGTCATCACTAAATATCTATCTAGGAGATCTGACCTGAGTGGCAGCGCGCTATGCAATGGATCTTTGTCGGGAAAGGACTACACATTGACCATTGACCGACAAACCTACGAGGTTTACCCTGTTTGATTCGCAGACCATATTTCGGGTCTTTACACACACGTTCCATTTGCGGCCGGTCCATGGCTGCGGGGCCTCTAGGGTACCGCTGACAGAGGCGGCAGCAGATACGGGACCACACCCCGATAAATGCTGGTTGGAGTAGACTTCATTCATGTCAACTCAGTCGCAATCATCGTTACCGCCGCGAGTCCATCGCATGCCTGTTCTCGGGGATGCCGGTCCATATGTCCAGCGCCAAGAATAGTGACTTGGACGTGCCAGGTAACGACTGCGCTTCGGAGGACATGACGAACATGCTCCACAGTAATACTCGACCAAATCAGCATCGATAGCCATGTCAACCTCGGCCTTGTGCAGTCGCGACTGAAAGAGCTCGTTCTCAAAGTCTGGCGGCCAAGAAATCCGCGGCGAAGACCCCTCTAGCTTGGCATGCAGCAGAGCTCTGGACCCTAGGACAGGTCGAGGAACTTTCGCTCTTGGGTAGCATTCCTACACATCCGGGCCGCTATTTTGCTTGGCAGCTTGTGCGGCGCAGTTGCGCAACTCCGCAACGAAAATGCAGCTTCCCGTGAGTAAGCCGTGCTGGAGCGACTAGGGACCCGTTCTAGGACGTTCGGACGAACCAGTGGTGTGTATTGGTGAGTGGGCGACAGCTGATGGGAACTTTGATCAGGCAGCTCGTGTCGTCAAGCGATGTGCGGGTATTGACCAGTAGCGAACAAGATTTCCAATTGTGTTGTTACCCTGATCGGCCGCTCGCTGAGTTGTGGCCAGTTCGGTCGAAGGAAGCGGATGACTTGCCCAGCCTGATGCAACCTCGATGAGGGGTTCGGCCAACGGTAGTTGATCCATCAATGATCTTGCTTCAACCGTTAGATCAGGTCCTCCCGCTGTGCATCTACGCCATGCAGGGTAAATACCGTCTTACGTGGGGGTTGCCTATGAGCTCGCGCATCTGGCGAGCTGAGATCCACCGGACGGAGGTAAAGTCCCTGAGGCAATCAGATCGACTTGCTGGAGCTTTGGCCGAAGGCCCATAAGGCTTTTAGCAATCATTTGGGGCATCCTATTGTGCAAGGATCTTTTGAGGCACATTGCCCTACCTGAGGCCCCTCAGGCTCAGGTTCAGGCTGAGGTCATGAATGCACTGCGACGAATTTGGAAGACGAAGCCGTCGTAAAGCTGTCAGCATCAGCGCATACGAAATGAGTGCAGGTACATAGGTTTGATGAGAAGTCTGAGGAACCTCAAGTGTCGCAGGCACCTCCGGTAAGTACTTTGCGTCTCTGGAGCTTCGATGACACAACTCACTGACAACACCATTTCAAGTACATTCGCGTCCTGGCTCCTTGCTGTCACTATGTTGAACAACCGCGCTGGAATATGCAATATTTTGACCCAGCATGATGTTGTACGCCCTTCTTTGCTGGCATCTCTGTATCAAAGGATCCTGTAGACGCGTCTCAATTCTTTCAGCGACACGAGACGCATGCAACCTCCCTGTACAGTGCAGCGATCCTTCTTTACCACCTTCCCCCCAAGAGCCCTAGGCAGAACACCAGGCGTGTAGAGAGCTCCATCATCCGGAGTTGCCACCGGCCCATAGCCGCCGCACCAAGTCCAAGAACGGGTCGATGTGGGATGGCACCCGCCCGGTGGACCACCCAGCTTCACCCGCTCCATTCACATCAGGGAGGCAACTTACGATGCAAGTCAGAATTGCCTGTCTGAGGAGCCAGGCTTCCGTGTTGCATCGTGATATCTTGGCATGTATTCCTACGACGAGTTGCTGAGAGCAGTTGCCCAAAGACCAGAGAAGAACTAGGGCTAACGAATGCTGATCAGTTCCGCAACAAGCAATTTAGGGTTACAGTATTGGCAAAGCTTGTCAAAGTGGAGAGAAAGCAGGATGTGTTGCTTATGCATCGTCAGCTGCCTCACTACTTACTTTAGGTGCCTAGGTATGTTGACAAGGTAGGTAAGGACAGAGGCGAGATGAGCACTCCACGAAGGCGAGCCTGGTGCATCAGGAGACGGAAAGTCCGGCATCTCAGGGCAAAGGGGATTCTTTCGAATGCGAGAAATCTGTCTATAAAAGGGGCGCCATCCAACCTGAAGTTCTCTTCAATTCATCAACAGCCTCAGCAACAATTCCTTAAGACACTCTTCCATCAACTTCAAACCTCGCCCGCTTCTTAAGCAACACGTCAAGATGCACTTCACCACTGTTCTTTCTACCCTCGGCCTCATGGCCAGCATTGCTCTCGCAGCCCCCAAGGCTCCCATTCTGGCGGCCCGCGATGAGGATGTTGACTTCACTGTCTACAAGGACGATGCTGGCAACGTTGAGTCCTTCGTCAACGCCACCGCGCTCGGCGTCGACATCTTTGAGCCCATTCCCGATGATGGTGTCGTCCTCAAGGACCGCATCGTCGCCGAGCCGGGCACCAAGGCCTGGGCCTGGATCCGTGCGCAGATCGACATCAACTGGGACGAGGTGACCGAAGAGCAGCTGCAGAAGCGCCAGGGCTGGGCCAACATTGGCATCGGCATGTGGGCCCAGGACAACTGTAAGTTGAATTCTTCCGAGAAGTAATGGAACAACTTACTGACATGCAGGATGATAGGCCAGGGCCAGGCCTCTTACTTCGACAACGTCCAGTACAACGTTAACCACTACGGCACGATCAACCACTACAGCTTCGGTATCCGCTACCGTGGCCTGCGCAACGGAGAGCAGCTTGACGTCAGCCGCCTGAACGGTGGTGACTGGTGCGGAACCTACGTCGCTACCATTGCCCGCAACTCTGGCAGTAAGTCTACCCCAAATAGTTTGCAATTGCACGCTTCTAACCTGATCTTCTTTTAGCTGGCTGTGGTCACGTCGGCCCCATCAACTGCTTCCGTCTGTGGCTGAACTAGCGTGATGATCTTTGGAAGAGGGTCATTCAAGGCTTCACAAACTTACTCAAAAGAGATCAGAGAGACTTTCAAGTCCTCAAGCTAACTCACACAATTCTTGTCACTCGTTCGCTTTCTTAGGCTACCTCGCCATCCCATTTAAGACAGGTAGCAGCTCAGTTCACAGACAATAAAAATGATGCATCAAACAAATACAAAATCGACAAGGATACCAAGCCGTGGATGGTCGGATAGAAAAATGTCTCTGACCCTAACCTTCTGCTGTTTCCGTGTCCCTTCTAAGCCTGACAAGCCTCCTTTTTCAGAGTCCTTGACAAATGACCTCTGACACATGGTAATTAAGTTGTTCCACGTGTACTCCATTCTGCTCGCCGCCAAAGGACACACGGGGTTTCACGGTGGACAAATCATCCATGTTTGTTGAAGTGTTAGAACCTCATATCTGCCAGTCGTCTCATTTCTTCCTTAATCTCCCGTGTAATCATTCAAGATCAATGTCACTGCTCGTCATTGAAAGTCACCCTCTCTTCGAGGCAGGAATATATGGATGCATGCCGGATCGACCTTGGAGAGACACTTTTGCGCCGCCGAAAGAAAAAGAAAAACGGTTCTGTCGTGTAGGCTCCAATTTTCATGGTGCGTTTCCATGTTCCGAAACTACTTTGTGTTTGCGATGCTGATGCTCAGTTTGAGGACATCGTGTGTATGCTATGGCTTGACAGCTGCCGCCCGAAGCAACGTCGCGATGGGCGAGGACAAAGAGGGATGTTGATTAGGTAATGCAGCTGCCGATTCGAGGCCAGACCCGTGGTTGTGTGGGCCATCGGAATTTCACCGGCCCGCCCGCGAAATCTTGGCGGTGAATTTTTGAGGTGGGCCCCTCTATCGGTCGGTATCGCGACCCGCCACTTTCTCCAGGCATCGCATCTTCCTCCCAACCCAAGGGAAACCCGATCAACTCGAAGCATCTGAAGCCGCTCGTCAGCGCCAATCCGTCAAGATGCCTCAGAACGAGTGTAAGTCCCAGCAGCCCACGATTCCGTTTCCCTCGCCAAGAACCCTGCTGACCATGCCCCCCCTGCAGACATGGAGGCAAGTTTTCTTCACCCGCGGATCGACCGCCGACCGATGCAAGGAAAGACAATCACGGACCATGCGACTAACGTGCTGTTTTCTTCGACATAACAGAGGTGGAGGAAGCTGCATGGACGCAGGCTCGACCACGAGGAGAGGACCCGCAAGAAGCTCGCGCGTGAGGGCCACAAGCAGAGCAAGGATGCGCAGAACCTGCGTGGCCTCAAGGCCAAGCTGAGGGCCGAGGACAGGCGCAAGGAGAAGATCCAGATGCGCAAGAAGATCAAGGCCCACGAGGAGCGCGATGTCAAGACGACCAACGACGAGGAGCCCAGCGAGCCCATGCCCGCGTACCTGCTCGACCGCAAGAAGTGGGTTTTGCTCCCTTTCTCTCGATCCTCCGCCTTCAGGTTTTCCAGAGGGTTTTCCAGAGGGTTGCCCAGAGGGTTTCCCAGAGGGCGGCAGGACGGCAGAGGAGCGACGTTGCTGACGTGGTTGATGTAGCCCCAACATGGCCAAGGCTATCTCTTCGCAGATCAAGAACAAGCGTGCCGAGAAGAGCGCGAGGGTACGTTCTGGCGTTTGGCGGATGGTCTTGGAGTGAGATGTAGGACTAACGAGAGGGGATAGTTTGCCGTGCCGCTACCCAAGGTCCGCGGTATTGCTGGTAAGCTCATCCCGGTTGTTTGGTAATGTCGGGGAAGCGCGGCTGACACGGACGACAGAGGAGGAGATGTTCAAGGTTGTGTCCACCGGCAAGAAGACGCACCAGAAGTCGTGGAAGCGCATGATCACCAAGCCTACGTTTGTCGGTGAGAACTTCACGCGTCGCGACCCCAAGCACGAGCGGTTCATCCGGCCGATGGGTCTCCGTTACAAGAAGGCCCACGTCACGCACCGCGAGCTTGGCGTCACGGCTCTCCTGCCCATCATCTCCGTCAAGGTAGGCAATGGAGTGGCAACCACGTCGAGGGTTGCGGGGGGGGGCGTATCGTGGAGGCCAATGCTGACACGGGACGTGCAGAAAAACCCCAACAGCCCGATGTACACCAACCTTGGTGTGCTGACCAAGGGTACGATTATCGAGATCAACGTCAGCGAACTCGGCATGACGACGGCCGGCGGCAAGGTCGTCTGGGGCCGGTACGTGACTTTCTGGTCTCGCCTGCACGGCGACGGTACTGACGTGAACGTGTAGCTACGCGCAGGTCATGAACACGCCCGAGAACGACGGCTGCGTCAACGCGGTGCTCCTCACCTGAGCTGTCACGTCGCGGGGCGTGGTGCGAAGCAGGCATTGGACACAAGCAGGGCAAATTGAACAGGTGGACGCAGACGGCTACGTGGACGCAGACGGCTACGTGGGGCGCATTCGCTGGCGTTTTTGGAGTTTTGGAGGTTCTCGAGTACAACTACGGGGGCCGTCATGCTGAACGATGGAAAAAAGGAGAGGGACAAGCACTCTTGCGATGAAGCGATTGAGGTTCTCGGATTGAGGTTCTCGGCATGGGCGCTGTGGCTCGAGCTGAGGCTGGGGCTGCGGAAAGGGGAGATGGAGACGCCTTCACATGAGACGTCGTAAGTACGGTAGCGAGCAGAGTGACTTGGCAATACCCACGTGAAAGTTCAGCATGTGTTGAAGTGCCACGCCCCTGCCGTCACCTCCCTAACCAGGCTGCCAGGCATGCCCAGAGGCCAGTGAGGTTGGCGGATCGAGCCCCCGGGGTACAGCGGGCTCCGGGGCTCTGGCAGAAAGCCATCACATGTCAGGTCGCCCCCCAGCCAGCCCATCCCTCAGGCTGGTAGGTCCCTAAGCCACCTTGCCCAGTACAAGACAGACCCCCTGGCGTCATCCGCTTCTGAGGTGGGGTGCAAAGGCCGGGGTCACTAGGACGTGCCCCCCCCCCAAGCCCCCCTTGGCCCCGCCTCCCCCTACAGTCGCACCCGCATCTGTCTGCCACTGGCCGATGCCGAAAGCCGTCAGACCAACATCCGAGGCACGATTGACGAGGGACCCAGGACCACGGCCATCGTTTTCCCCGACCTTGCGCCTGCGCGTCGCGCCGTTTCCACGGCCTGCTCCATTCATCTCCTCCTCCCAAGCAGGACAGGACAGGACAGGACAGCACAGCACAGAACATCACTCGCAATCGCCTCTACCCTTCGACACGAGCATTGCAGTGATTGCTCTCCCCTCTCGACGACCCCAAGCGACCCAGCCCACCAGGTACCGGTACCCTACCTGCGAGTCCACCTTCCCGAGGCTCGCATCATGGAGGCTGTCAACGGCCTCAAGGTATGCCCGTCCCTTTCGAAAAGGAAACCCCCCAAGGATCTGCTCGTCTGACTGAACAATTCCTGCCCAGGCCGCCCTCGAGCGCATCGTCCTCGACCCTCGCTACCATGACATTCTCGCCGTCCTCAAGGGCGCCCGCAACGGTGCCGTCTACGGCACCAAAGTCCGCTTCCCCCACGCCCTCGTGTATGATCTCACCTTGCCGTCCCACCCGCCTCTCCCTCACGTGTGATGCTAACGTCCGTGTGCCTCCGACAGCATGATCTTCCTCTTCCGCTCCGGCACCCTCCGCGAGAAGGCCGGCCTCGTGTTCCGCGCCACGCGCACCCACGCCCGCAACCTCGCCAAGTTCGCCACCATCTACAAGCTCACCATGCTCCTCCTCAAGCACTACGGCCCGACGCCGGGCAAGGAGGGCCCCCACGACGCGCTCCTCGCCGGCGCCCTCGGCGGCTACCTCGTCTTCGGCGGCCGCGGCGCCCGCTCCGGCCGCATCCCCAGCGTCAACCAGCAGATCGTCGTCTACGTCTTCGCCCGCGTCGTCCTCGCCCTCGCGCGCCTCGCCGTCAAGCCCGGCGCCGGCCTGCCGCGCGTCAGCGAGCCCGCCGCCAGCGCCCGCATCAGCCACTACGCCTGGCCCGTCTTCGCGAGCGGCAGCTGGGCCATGGTCATGTATATCTTCCGCTGGCACCCCGAGGACCTGCAGTCGAGCCTGCGCAGCAGCATGACGTACATCTACAAGCAGAGCGACGACTGGGATTCGTTGCGGAACTTTGCCTGGCACAACCAGTGAGAAGGGGGGGGGGTTTGGCTGGCGTTCGGGGGTTTTGCATATGCCTACCTTACAGTGTACATAGCAGGTTTGTTTGGGGAGGAGGCAGGTTTTTGGAACATACACCGTGGTTTGATAGACCTGACAAGCGACATGAAATCCGACATGAAATCCGACATGCAATCGCGAACATCATGGACATGGCATGCCGGTTCCATCCCTTTCGGTGACGGCGCTTCGCAAGCAACAGCATGTGGTCAGTCAGAGGGCATGTGGGCACGCCGGAGACGAACCGTGTCGCGGCCTCGTCGCTCGTCCCCGTGGCAGGTACGCCGACGCACAATGGGTGCCTTCGCCAGAGGGCGGGAAGCGCGCGCCGACATGGTCACACATGCATCATCCACGTCCAGTGCCGCATCATGGTCCAGACAGATTCGGTGTCATTCAGCCTAGAAATCAAACTCGCCCTTGAACACGTCCGGATCCACGCCGGCGACCACCTTGTCCGCGAGATCCCGGCGGCCCATCTGCGTGAACACGCGCCGCAGCGTGTCGTACAGCGTCGAGCTGCGGTTCTGCGCCGTCATGCGGTCGAGCCGCTCGTCGAGCTCGGTCGTGTTGGTGCCGCCGCCGGCGCCGCCGCCGCCGAGAATCTCGTAGGCCTTGCTGCGGCCCTCGCGCTCGATCGACTTGTGCATGCTCAGCGCGGCGAGGAAGTGGGCGGCCGCCTCGTCGTGGCAGCCAATGTTGATGCAGCTGACGCCGAGGTTGTAGCGCGCGCGCACAAAGTTGGGGTGGATGCTCAGCGCCTTCTCGTACGCGGCGATGGCCTCCTCCGACTGGCCCGAGTTGGCGAGCGTCGCGCCGAGGCGGTTCCAGAGCAGGTGCAGCTTCTCCTGCTGCGTCGAGTCGCCCTGGGCCGACGAGTTGAGCGCCGACGTGAAGCAGTCGACGGCCTTGTCGTAGTCCTCGGCGCCGTAGAAGAGGACGCCGAGCCCGACCTGCACGTCGGGGTCCATGTGCTCGCCGTCGGGCGACAGCTGCGCCGCCTTGATGAAGAGGTCCGTCACCTTTTCGCGCAGCACCTGCCGGTCGGTGAAGCCGAGCTCCGACGGCGGGTGCAGCGACGCCGGGTCGATGATCTGCGGGTACCGGACCGAGAGCCAGCGCTCCAGCGTGCGGTACGCCGTCGAGTCGTAGCCCTCGTTCGTGTAGGACACGGCGAGCGCCATGAGGGCCGACGGGTTGGCGGGGTCGAGCTTGATGGCCTGCTCGAGGGCGCGCAGCGCCGCCGTCTCCTTTTCGTTCTGCGCCTGCGCCTGGCCGAGATACACCCACGCCTGCACGTGGCTCGGGTCCTGCTGCGTCGCGGCCTCGAAGGCGAGGGCCGCCAGCGACAGGTTGCCGCCCTCGCGCATGATGCGCACGCCCTCGTCGAACGCGTTCTTCTCGTCGATGAAGATGTTGTCCTCCTCGAACAGATAGGGCTCGACGACGGGGTCGCCGAGCCGGCCGCCCCAGTAGTCGCCGCCGAGGCCCTGGAAGTCCGGCGGCACCCAGTCCTCGCTGTCAAACTTGTCGAACGTCGTGTCGCCGTCGACCATGGCGCGCGCCGCCGCCGTCTCGGACTGGATGCCCTTCCATATCGACTCAAAGTCGCCAAACTCGTTCGTCTCGGACTGCATCGCCCTGTCCATCTCCTCGAGCTCCGGCTCGGCGGCCTTGGCCTCCTCGTCTTCCTTGTGCTGCAGCTCCATCTGGGCAAACTGCTCCTCCCACTTGTTGTCGTCGAGCTCGACGAGCTTGCCCTTGCCCTTGGCGTCCTGCTGGGGCATGGGCTGCTGGTGCTGCATCGGTTGTTGGTACATGGACTGCTGGTACATGGGCGCGCCCATCATCATGCCGCCCGAGTAGGGGTAATTCAGGGCCGACGGCGGGTTCATGCTCTGCTGGGCGGGCATGGGGCTCGACCGCGCCGACGAGGGCTGGTGGTTCATCTGGCGGAAGCGCGCAAAGTCCTCGGGGCTGAAGCGGGTGCCCTGGGGCACGTTGAAGGCGGCCTCCATGGAGGACTGGGCCTGGAACTCGTTTGTCCATGTCGGGGATGTCGAGGCGGCGCGGAGGTGGACGGCGTGGGCGGGGTCAATGTGGATGGAGCCATTGGGCATGGGGATCTCTTGCTGGAGGTTGGGGTTCTTGTTCAAGAAGCCGTTCATCATCTGGTCGAGCGCTGGTCAGTGGCGGTTTCGTCACCTTGGAAATCGAGCTGGAGGCCCGAGCCCGAAAGGGGGGGGGGGGGACGGCATACCTCATCCTGCTGGGCGCTGCCGCCACCGCTGCGGAAGCCTCCGGCGAGTGCGTTGGGTCCTCTCTGCGCCAGACGGTCTCCTTGTAATTGCTTGTCGCCTTGGACGTGCTTCTGGAACTGGCTGAGCGGGTTGCCCGCGGTCGAGCATTCTGCCCCGCCAAGGAAGGACATGGTGAAGGGGAAGGGGCGAGATCGGGAGGCGGGGTGTCGGGGCCCTTGGAGGACTGGGATGTAGTTGGGCGGTGAATCAAAGCTGGTGTAGATGTGGCCTGGTGTTCGACGGCTTGGAGTTGGTGTTTGGGTTTTGACGAGGTGTCGTTCGACAGTCGAGGAAGGTGAGAAGCATGAGGAGGAGAATGTCTCTGGCTACGGCTTTGGTGGTTTGTCAGTCAGTCACGCATCCTCCGCAGCGGTTCAGTCCACCCAACGCCGCCTGGACCGAGGCTCGCCCGGGCCGGCTCCAGGTTTTCCACACGCCTGGCGCTAGGCCGATCAGCGCAGGGTGCTGACTAAGGACAGGACCACAGAACCACAGCCGCTGAGGTCAACTGCTACGGTCAACCGCGAAGGTCAGCCGCGAAGGTCAGCCGCTATGGTCAACCGCTATGGTTAACCGCTAAAGGTCTACTGAACCTCACTGTATCTTGTCTCCAGGTGCACCCACAACCAATGTGCTGCAGGTGCCTCCAACAGGTGCCAACTGAAGACGCCTCGGCGACATGTACTCTCAGCCTGCCCTGAGCAAGAGCGGTCCTATCGTACTGAGATCCAATTTGCGTCAATCTCAATATCATCAGACACAACCTAAAGGCCCAAGGAAGCTGCCCAAGACGCCGTCCCCTATATTTCAGGCGGTGCCAGGCACACGACATGACGACCTCGGACCTTTCCATAGAATACCGTGTAGCGCGTGCCGGCCCGTCACCCTTCGCACTGCCGCCTGGACTGCCGTTTCATGGCAACCCTGCCCACCGTGCCAACCTTAATGTCGAAGCGTATGGTTCAACGGATAGATATGCTTCGAGCGTTTTCTCGGCCCGCGCAGGGGTTCAAACCTCAGACACCCGGCAAAGCTTCATTCCCTGGTTCCTCAGGACTCTAAAAGGGATCGTCCAAGGCTTGAAACGGCCCATCTGCCGACGGCCATCCGATCACGAAACCCCATGCCTTTGATCAGCGGCAACCGGGCGGTGACCTTGTGAGGAAGGAGACCGCCGTGGCAGTGGCGCTCGGGTGCTGTCACTGGCAGCAGCGTTCACGGCAGCAGCGTTCACGGCATCTGCATCTGGTTCGTCAGGCCACGGCCATGAAGAGGAGTGATGATCAGCAGTCTTGTACACGTACAAGCGGACTGGCCCAGCCTGGCCCGTCCGCACCCACACCCACGCTATCATACAGCCATCAGACACACGACGGCAAGATAAAGTACACAGTCGACACCCCGTCACCGGCGCCCAGCCAGCGCGCTCCAACGGCCGCGGCGACCGGCAAGCTCGCCAAACCACGACCCGCCGCTCGGCCACCCTACTCGCGGGGTCCCCTGGGCTCCCTGGGCTCCCTGGGCTCCCTAGGCTCCCTGGGCTCGCGCGACCGCCTCTGGCCCCTGTCGCCGCCCTCCCTCGGGCGCCTGCGGCTGTTGGCGTCCTGCGTCTGCGAAGCAAAGCTAACGCGCAGCGGCCGTCCGCCAATCTTCTGCGTCTTGAGCATGTCGATGGCCTTGGTGGCGGCCTCGACCGTGTGGAAGTCGGCGTGCGCGTAGCCGATCGGCCAGCCCGTGTTGCGGTCCGTCGCGATGCGGATGCTCTTGACGTCCTCGAGCGCGCCGAACACGCCGTTGAGGTCCTTGTCCGTGGCCTCGTACGAGATGTTGCCGACGAAGACGGTCAGGGTCGGCGGGCCCTCGTAGCGCGCGCGCGTGTTGGTCAGCTCCGGCACGCGCCGGGGCTCGGCCACCATGCGGCGTCCGTGCCAGAAGGTGCCGTTGACATTGTCGGCCGCGACCTGCACGGCCTCGGCGTCCTTGAACTCGATAAAGGCGAAGCTGCAGCGGGGTCCATGTCAGTCGCCGTCATGAGCGGTAAAGCCCCAGATCGCAAAGGAGAGGAGACAGGGAGGGGAGGAGGGGGGGAAAGGGCATGCTCACTTGACACCGGGCTTCTGCCGGGCAACCTTGGTCACCTCGCCGTACTTGGAAAAGGCCTCCTTCAGGTCCTCGTCCGTCACCTCGCTGACAAAGTTCTGCACAAACAGTGTGCGCCGCTTCTCGTCGTCCCAGATCTTCCTCTGCTCCTGCGTCGGGCGCCCGTCCTCCCCCAGCAGGACATCAGGGCCGTACTTCCTGGGCGTCGGGGCGGCCTCGGCGGCGGCGTTCACGGGCGTGGACTCCTCCTCGCGGAGCGCAGAGGTCTGGAAGAGGGAGCGGGGAGCAGCGGCCGAGAAGGCGCGGACGGCAGCGAGACGGGAGGCGAGGGGCGCGCTTCGTGCGCTGGGGGCGCGAGCCACCGATGCGGCAGCGCGGAAAGCGGCGTGACGGAAGGAATGCCTGTGAGGGGGGCAAATGAGTCACACATGCCATTGGATGTAAATTGAAGAAGAACAAACTTACATTGTGATGAACGTGTTGTGGTAAAGGAGAATGGAAGAGCGTCTCGGGGGATGTCAGGATCGAATGGCCCGTATCTCAAAGCTCGGATAGGAGCCACGAAATTTTAGACTGAGATGGGACTGGCGCTATCGATAAGAGCAAGTCGCGGTCAGATGCATATGCACTCACGTCGCATGCATACCGGATGCTGGGAACATCCGCTTCCATGTCCACTTGACGACAACAACTGTCTCTTCAACTCACATCAGATTCTTGTTCACGGCCATGGGCAAGAGATAGATGAATAGCACCGTACGATTATCGTAGCAAAGGCAGAACGACGTATGGCCACTCCAGTGTTTCTCCCCCACCTCCAGCGCGCGCCGGCCCTTCACTTTTGCAAGGTATTCTACGAATCGCACCAGTCTCCTCTTCTCATCCGTGACCTTTGAAACCATGATAGCTGCCCTGGAAACGTTGGATACGCCGCAGGGCGAACACGCTTCAGCCATCAAGGCGACTCCCTGAGATCGCCACATGGGTATATACCGCCGTCTTCCTTGTCCCTTCCCCAATCAATTCCCTCGCTCAACGTGTAAGAGCCTACATGGCCGTCCACGTTTGTGCCTTCTACCCAGTTTTCGCGAAAGCAAAAGAAGAGCATAAGAGCAGAAAAAAAAAAGGACGAAATCCAACATCCCAGCTTTTGGCCTTGCAACGGCTGGGGATTCCGAGGAATGAGTTTGCCGCATCCTCTTCGGTCCCAAATCTCACTCCGGAGGCCCACCCCAGGTGCATTAAGCCCTTACTGACACATACAAAAGAAATAGAGATTCCGATGCTCCGAATCCGCGTAGCGTTGTTCAAGTCGTCTTGGCGAACGACTGCAAGACCTCCTCAATCGAGGGGCATTGATGAAAACAAACAAAAAGAATAATTGAACACGCAGATGGGTGCTGCGACGTCGAGGTAAGTGGTCGAAGCTAGTCCGATGACCAGGTGACCCATGTTGCCCGATGGATTAGATGTGAGGTCGAATGGGCGCGTTTCGCGTTCATCTTCGAGAACGCGCGCAATTCGTCGGGAATGACGGCAGAGGATGATAGACCAAGTTGACCACAGGCTGGCCATGTTTTAGCTGCTGAGAAGGCTGGGCATGTGTACGATCAGTACCGCTCTGCAGGTCGATATCCGCCAGCACGCGGAGCATCGTATTGCACACCCGTCATTGACTCAGGCCCGCTGGGAGGGCCGCCATTGAGGGCGCGCAGAGGAGGTAGCTCCGGGCGGTGGGCATAGGGATCTGACGCGTAGCTAGCCGCAGGTGGAGGGGGGGGTGCCTGTTGAGGAGGCTGGCCTCGCAGCTGAAGCATAAGCGCGTGGTTCTCCCGGCGCAGCTGATCATTCTCTGACGCAATAGAGGCGTTTTGATTCTGCATCACACGGACGGCATCCGCCATTCGCTGGTGCTCCGTGATGGCTACGTATCGTTAGCACTGCTACAAAATCTAGCCCGCCTCGTGAAAAGAAGGGGTGCATACCCTTGGTCAAAATCTCCCACTTGGAGGCCTTGGACCCTCGTTCCTGGGGCATCAAGTCGCGAAGTTGGTCGAACAGCTCCTTCATCTCTGTTCTTCGCTTCCGCTCAGCCAGCTTGTGACTCTTGCGAAGTTCAGGAGTACGGCTGTATGGTTGAGCACCAGCTCTCGATTCCGCATCCTCGTCCTGGAGGTCCCCTAGCTGTTTGTGCTGCAGAGAGTGGTGATGCACTGGTGGGAAGTCTGTTGAGGCATGACCCATGTGGTTGTACTCGGCGTTTTCGTCCAGTCTTCGCTGGCCAGGCGGCAACCTGGATTCCGTGGTGAACTGGCTGCTCGCAATCGACTCGGTAACACTGCTGCGCCGAGAGTCCAGGAAAGATGTGTTGTGCGACGGCTGACCGTACCGTGCCGCCTCCTCCCTCTCGTCGCCGTCAGGGAAGGCCCAGGCTTGGCCCTTGGTAGGCTCAGCGGCTCGCGCAATCTGACTTGTCGCAGGTCCTGTGATCGCGGGAGCAGTCTTGCCCAGCTTGGCTAGAGGCTCCCTCTCCGCACTCGGCTGGTATCCATTGGAAATGCGGTGGATAGCAACATTTTCCAGACCTGGTCGCGGGTTTCGCTGCTGGTTGAGTGTATTTTGAATTGACGAAGTCGATTGATTGTGAGTCGCGTAGGGAGAAGAAGCGCCGAGCCTCATGTCGCTGAACCCTTGGTTCATCCTGCTGTCGACACTTTCACGACGGCCCGCGGCCTGCATAACTGGATCGAGCATCCCATTCGGTTGGCCGTTCTCGAGGGAGGTAGGGCGATCGGCCCGTCGGGGGTTTGCACTGCCGGGTGTGGTTGGGGACACCATGGACGCGACGCTCATGTTGCTTTGGGTAGGAGAGACTAGAGTCTGGGGCATGGCGCCTGTGGCGACTGGCGAAGGCGTCTTATCGGCCGAAGAAGAGGGGTAGCTGGAGTTGGTTGGGCTGAAGACCGAGATGGTCATGTTGGAGGCGGCCGAATTGTCTGCGAGATTTTGTCAGCCATGTGCTCGAGATGAACCACTCGCTGAGCATTCTCTTGCATACGCTTGCTGGAGGCATCTGCACCGGAAAAGTAAGCGGAATCGCGATTTCCGTCCGGGTTCGGGTTCAAGACTGCTGCGACGGTAGTGACTTGATGGGATGCCGGCCTCGAGTCCATGGTGACGGTCTTGTACTCGTGCATGTAGGCAAGAAAACAAGATGGTGCACAGTTGGTGGCTCGAAATCAATAAGAATCCTTGCAACCTACACCCGTCTTGGCGGTCGATGAATAAGACAGGTAGACAGATTGCTGAAGGGAAGCGAATCGAGTAGATCCGAGGTCTCGGTAGACCTGACACTGGCGCGTTGGAAGGCTGGGTGCAAATAGCGTGCGACTCGGCTGTGTCTGTTTTGTGTGTATACAAGGGCGGTTGAATATGTAGGTATGGGGCTTGCGGCGCAGTTTCGTCTGGGCCAAGGGATCCCAGTGGTAAGCCAATTCAAAGGGTGGAAGAACTATCGCAGATCGTGTCTGGCGTCGCCTTGAAGGAGAGTAGGGGCAGGAAGAATTCCTATGCTCGATGCTTGTTGGCGTCTGGAGCAGTGGGTTGGTGTAGGTGTAAAGGGAAGGATGGAGGGAGACGAGACGAGCGGTAGAAGGAGTGGACGCTGGACTCGAGCGGTGGCTAAGACGGGACGGGTACGGTGCACACAGACCTGTTTCAAGCAATGGGAGAAGCTGGGGAGAGTGAGGAACAGAGGGGGGGGGGGGGGATAAGACGGGATAAGGACACTGAATGACAGGAGGGTCCAGAGGAAAGCAGGTGGGTTGGAGAGGGTACATGTTGGAGTACAAGTACAAAAGTCGGGTACAGGTACGAAGCGCGGTACAAGGCGCAAGTACAAAGCAAGCGCAACCCAGAGGCGGAAGGCGAGAAAGAGGGCAGTTCAGGAAACGGGAATGGAGGTGTGGGAGAGAACGTGCGTGGGAGCTGCAGCTGCGTGCCCACCCATGGCACATCCTTGACCCTTCCCATGCTCGTGTCCTTGTCCCCATGTCCACCCGGCGCTCGTCCCTTGTGCTAGTGCAATTGTGGGTGGAACACGCTTTCCTCATCTATCCGCCGTCACGCATCGAGGGCAAGAAGCAACGACTCTACCAGCCTGCCTGCCCAGCCTGGGCTTCGGGCTTGCCTACCTGCTAGCTGACCTGACCAGTATTCCCGGGGTCCTGGGATACGCCTCCTGTTGATCTCATACCCAGCCGAGTAAGGCACCTACGTAAGGTAGGTAGGCACCTGGTTATCCATGTTCACGTTTGCACGACTTTTGCCTCTCCTCCGCACCATGAGATGGAGAGCAAATTCTTTGGTCAGACGGTTGACATAGAGGCCAACGTGCTAGCCAGCGATAACCTTTCCCCTGGCTCTTCCCCCTTGCGCCTGGGTCCCGGCTGGCTGCAAGTCGCAACCCTCCTCCAACCCCCATCCTGGATGGTCCGCCACAACACCCCCCAGGCCTCTTGTCTATCACCCCCCGTTTTGGTCCTGGTTGGCGGTCTCTCCTCCCATCCCACCCCCCAAAGGCTCATGGCCACATGCTCCCATGGCCCGCCCCTTCCCGTAAACTGCCTAGCAGAGTCCATGATCCTCCACTCACGACTTGTTAGCGGGAGAGGGAGGCTTGAAGGCTGGTGGTTTGTGGCCCGGGCCAGACATGCGCCGGTCGGGGCTTTTCCGAGTTAAGCCTGTTACTGTGCACAGGAGCTTTTCCTGCCACGCTTGACAAGGACGGACAACCCATTGACGTCGGCGGGCTATATAACGCGGGAGAGTCTACATGTACAGACGAGGGCGGATAGCGAACCGGGGATGGGGGGGGGGGCCACAAGGCACGACTCGACCAGCCTTGACACAAGTTGACATGGCCACAAAGCATGGTACCAGAGTGAGGCGTGCCCTAGGCTCGGCCTCATTTCGACACGGCCTAGGATTGCTAGCAGGCCCACCCCTTCCTTTCTTTTCTGAAGGCGTGAGTCGCAGATATTCGATCAAGTACCGGCACCGCGAACCCGACGTGTCGCGGCCTGAGCTCGTCGATAAATGAGGCGCCTGGAGTGCGGCAGGGCATTTGAATGGGGTTGGTAGTTTGGGGGGGGGGGGGGGGGGGGGGGGGGGGCTTTCGAGGTTATAGAAGGAGGGGGGGGTGTCTGAGAAGGGGGGAGCGCGCGGAGGCGCTGAGACAGCTTGCTGAGTATGCCACCCAGACTGCCAGACCCCCAGCGCGTTTTCTTCTCCGAGGGCGTCCGGGTAGACAACAGCCGACGTCCAACTCCAGCTTCGATTGTAGCCGGCGCATCCAGCACAGCCAGCGTCGGGTCCAGCCATGGGTCGGCGGGATGCAGTAGGTAGCAAGCAAAGACAAAACAAGAGGCTTTCCAGTAGTGCAGCCAGGCAATGACTTTAAGCTGGTGGTCTCTCTTGCTTCCCTTGCCTCGAGGTAGCAATCGGGGGGGTGACACAGATCGAGCAAAGTCGCACGATTTGAGTTGCACCGTCACGACGTCCAGCCAATGCGGAAGGGATGGTGATCCGCCTGGTCGAAAACGTGGTAGGAGCGCTTACATGCACGGAAAGTGTTCAGCATGTTGAAGCGAAGAGGAGACATGGGAACCGCTGCCGGACGAATGGTCGAATGGGTCCTGTACTTGGGCTTGTTTGGAAGGTCGCATCTGCGGCCGTGCTATTATGTTGGGTACATGACTGGGTGCCCTGTTCAGTGTAAAGGTCCGTGGGCTCAGGGTGCCTTGCACGTTGACTGGGCATGTGCTGTAAGTGTATAGGCACTGTAGAGCCACGCTCCTCCATCGAGACGAGGCGCCACTTGTCGGGTCAGAGAAAATGAGGAGAAGGGATGACGGTGCGATCGGCTGCCCAAACTCTGTAATGTGCTGGCGTGAGCTTTCCAAAGGGTACCCATGCCGTTCGTTGTGTTGAGGCGCGTCGGTGGTGTGCAAATAAGGTGTGCGGGTTGGAGACCCCCTTATTTTTCTTCGCCTGGCCTGGCACTGAAAGCTGGCCATTGCCATGTGGGCGCGAGGGGGGGTGAAAGAAAACGACGTGCGATCCAGCCAGTTCCTGCTGCAATGCGCGATCTCCCGAGGGCCACGTGAGAGTTCCAACGACCAGATGGGACCCAGCTACCTTCTTACCTACGTACCGAGCTTCCTCAGCGCCTGCCTCAGCACGACCCGGACAAGAATACGTACCGAAGCACAGAGCCCCTGCTTGCCTTGGGTACCCAAGGTACCTGCCCAGGTGCCGTTCTCGTACACGGTACCTCCCCATCCAGGCAGGAGCAGCTGGTACTTGGTAGATGCTCCATGTATCGTACCGGGCAGGGACCATGCAGCAATCCAGTACGTGGCCTTGGCATTGCCCCGCTCACCCCAGCGCTTTCCCTTTCGATTGGACTGGCGGCAGAGGGAAGGGAAGGAAGAGGGGGGCGGGTGGAGGGTCATGTTGTTTGATGTCCTCTCTCCCATCTTTTCGGTGCCTTGCAGATCTCGCCAGCTCGCCCGGCTGTGATCCTCCACAACCACGTTCCTCGACCCAGTCCCATCCTTCCGTTCTCTCAGATCCATTCTCCCTATTGATGTGCGATGAACGATGTGCACGTACGCTGGCACCTCGCAGCGCACTCGCGCACAGTCACAAGCCCGTGGCTCCTGGGACGTCCTCGGCACCCCCGCTGCTAGCGAGTCGTCCCCCCCCCCCATATCCCCATGGGCTATAGGGGCTCCCACGATGAGTCTGCAGGGGCCGTTGCGGTTCCCGCTTTCGGATCCGGATTGTTTGTTTGATCAGCCTCTAGGATTGTGATGTTTGAGGGCGACGGCAGGGCGAACACCAACAGCTCCGCTCGAAAGCAAATCTCTGCTCTAAACGGAATTGCCAGGCAGTCAACTATCGAATCGACATCCTCCAAGAGTGCGCAAAAGAATCCATTCCAAGAGAATCAAGAGGAGACGGACGGGACAGAACCCACCGTCTCTCCGACAAATCTCGGAAACCCGCCTAAGACTACTAATCCGCTTCATTACATAACCGCACCCTGTTTCGCTCTATCTGGTACTACGGAAACAAAACAAGACGGCGGGAATCGCCACGTCTGGCCTGACTCGTTTCCCGAATGTCATTCAGGGACTCAGCACCGAGGCAGCGCCGATGGGGAACACAGCGGAACTAGTCCCGAAGCCAGTGCTGACGCGCTGGCCATGGCTCTGGGCACTGACCACCGTGGAATGGTGCCCTGAGGTACTAGGCACCTCGCAGCACAGGCCGCGCCTACGGCAGTCAGTGAGACATGTGAACGGATTATCTCCTGGGGGCTTCTCCACGTCATATGAGTGGCAAGCAAGACCCCCGAACACCGGCTTTCAGACACTGACCCTCGACAACCCAACACCCCCGACACCTCAGCCTCACAACGCAAGCACGCGTGTGTCCTTTTCGGTGCCAGGGGAGCACAAGCCGCCTGCTCGGATGCTCCTTCATAGCTGTCGCTCTCCGCTGTCAGCTGCTGTGTGCCCGCACTCTCCCTGAGCTCAGGCACCTCCAGTCCCCGCCTCCTCCCAATCAGAAACGGAAAAGCCCCCAGAAAGCACCGTCCAGGGGGGTGGGCTTCCCAAAGACACAACCCGGTCTCATCAATAACCGTAGCGTTCAATTTCCCCGTGCTACAGCGTCCGTGACTGGTCTCTCTCTTACCATGCAGAACACATGGCCCAAACACCGTGAGTCTGGCTCGCTCTTGCCAGAGCCACCTTGACATGACGACTTGGAGAGATGGATCGTCACCAGCATCCATGTAGCCCGCGACCAGGCATGCTGCTATCGGACAGATCTGGCGCCAGCCATCTTCGTCAGATGGGAGGGGTGAGGAGGCGGGCGGGCGGCTCTCATCCACGTGGCGGACAACCAGGCAAGAGGTGAGCAGTGCAGGTTACCTACCAATGCTGAAAGGATACTGCCCGACAGTTGTTTGGTTGAACTGGCATCCGTACATGGGCGGCCTGGGCCTAGCTGCTTCTGGATGCGGGCTGGTACAGGCACTATTCCTGCATGCTCTATCACCAGGCATTCAGCGACTTGTCAGAACTGTGTACAAGGGCTCAAGTACGAGTACCTGGACAACCTATGTCCACCCGGTTCCCCGCTCTAGTCGCGTACCCTTAATCGCATGGGGACATGATCGCCACGACAGGCATGGAAGTCATATGGAGGCAATGTCTCGAAGAAGCCATGTCGACCTGGCACACACAAGTAAAGCATCGCATGGTTGCTGACCGTCAAAAGTCGGACATTCAGAGTTCGCCCCTACATATGTGCTGGTCTGGAAACAGCAAACAATCTGCCTGTCCTCAACCGCCAACCGCCTGCCTGCGATAATGTCGACTAATCAAGTCGTCGATGAAGTGCGCGGTTACAGGCCGCTGACAGCGTATGAGATCGGACTGCTACTTGGGATTGACTTAGCGCTACCAGCAAGCACCATGCATGCCTCATCAATCGCCACTCTCCCCAGATTTTCGGGAAGGGGACGCGGGAAACCGTCCGATGATGTGTCTATCAGGCCCCGTCTACCGTATTGCGCGATGAAGGGTCAAGCTGAACAGCCTGCGGATCGTCATTTGCCATACCGACCACAGCTATCCACCCACGCGGCTTGTTAGTTCCTGTCGATTATCACTTTTATATCCGAGCGCTTTGACACCTCAACTGATGTCCGCCTTTTTGACAACCTTGGCCCAGTTGCTGATCTGCCCCGCATCCATTCACTCGGTCGCGTAGGCTATTGATCACGAAAAGAAAAAGCGGACAACGTTGCTAGCCGCATCGGACCACGAGTGAGTTAGGTGTCATCGCAAAATGCCAGTAGTCGTTCCGCTATGGCCAGGTGGGAGGAGCATGCCTTAGGTTGTAGCCAACAAGGAGAAAGCCTGTCTCGAGGCGCTGTCTGGAGGCATTGTTAGGCGACATGACCAAGTTTCGCCGAGTCCTGCCATGTTGAGGGGCGTTGTGACAGCCTCGATATTTCGCCGATACAAAGCCGCCGTCATCAAACCCCAAGGTATGTTGGTAGTAGCGTGTCTGACTTGGTTGTGAATGTCGCCTACCTCCCCACGACACGCGTGTACTGTTTCGACCCATAGAGACCGATCGACCCAAGACATCGTGACACTGGTTCTGCACGATCGACTTCATGACGATTTTCTCCTGTCCATCCGAGACAGACAAGCAGCTTTGCCCCAGTAAAAACATGCAGCAGTCATTCCTCTGACTGAAAACGGCCCCCAACGCTTCGGCACGCCTCTGTCGCCTTCGTTGAAACACAGATCGGGGCGCGTATCTGCAGCCAAAGCAAGCAGCCATGACTCCGACGCACCTTGCCGCGTATACGGATTACTCAACCAGCAGCTGTGCCCCCTCCAGGAGAAGCATTGTACAGTAACCAGATGGCCCGGTAACTCTCATATGTTTACGACAGTGTCGGCCTGCAGATGAGTTGGTGCTCAGGCGTTTCCAAAGGGTCGTCACGATGCTGAATCGCGGCACTTGGAGATAAGCGCAAGCATCCAGGTGTGACGCTTAACCGCGTCCTGAGGCAGAGCGCACCATGTTCCTGACTGTGGTATAGTGGTCACACAAGGCTAGGCAAGTCTCTTCAAATGCTCGGCGGCATTCCTCGGATGAGCCCGCCGCCACCTGGGTCACTGCCATGGCCCTCAGCTTCAGCTTGCATTTCATTCACATCGATCGTCTGTTACCTGTTCATCCGACTCGGCCTATACCCGTCGATTTGTACCCATCACTCGACCCGGTGTCATGGCTTTGGCAATCATGCCGAGGACCGCATGTCATGTCTAGTCGATCACCTCCACCTCACTGTCAGGATCACGCCAGTTTCAGTCCCAACATGACTAGGCTAGCAATGCAGTGGGTACAAGAGCTGAATCTCACACAGTTGCCCATTCGTGTCATAAGGAAAAGAACACTGCTACGAACGTATCGGTACCCCATGTGTCCTCGGCATGGCTCCTGTCTCTCCATGTCGTACGCAAACACAGGGCCGCAACTAGAGCCTGTCGCAAAAGCAAGAAACTAGGCATACCACACGCGCTCCACGCCCCTAGTGCCTGACAGTCAGGACCGGTCCCGCCGATCAGACCTCTGGTCTACCGACATCAGGCGTTGCTCTTATGTAGTGTAATTGCTTTTACACACTGACACGCCATAGGGCCCACCCTGTTTCCGTGAACCAGGCTTGCAACGAGAGACACTTGGGGGGGGGGGCGGAGGAAGCCGCGGAAAGCCTGTCACAGGGTAAGTTCCGACCTTGCAGATCCTTACAGCGACACTTGTAGTACGCACCATGACAACAGCAGTATTCTGTCAGCCAACTGGGCCGGGGTAGCCCGTGAATAGGCAAAAAGAATCACAGCGCCGGCGTGCATGTCGACTCTGTGACGGTAGTTCAGGCCCATTGCAGCGGACCTTTTCTATAAGTGGATTGGATGGTGGTGGTCTTGCTCTCCCAGAGAGAACAGTCCTGAACTCCCTTGCATCATGAGCGATCACAATTACGACCACAACCACAGTGTGCCAACCACGGATGACACCGGGGACGGACGGGAACCCAGCATCGGTGCTGTCGGCGCTGTCATACTAACTAACAGTCGGGCGATAGCAGCGGGAGACTTGTATCACTGCCGAGCCATCTCACCTGCGTCCAGTCAGATACTATGGTGAACCCCACGGCTCGTTTTTTGATCGGCGACTACCTGAGACGGGCGTGTCCCAGATGCGGCCATGACGACCTCGACCGTCACAATCTCGCCCAACCACAATGAAGAGCAGGCAGCGAGTTCTGTGTTGAGGCGTGGGGACACACGCGCCAAGAACGAGCTGCCGATAGTGTCATGCACGAGGTGCAGTTGTAGCGGATTGCAGTGTTGATGTGCCTATCTTTGGACGATGGTAACCTTCGATCGTGACGGCGCAGGAGCTGAGGAAAAGCAAAGGTGTCGTGACCTGAGGAAGGCCCAGGCGGCGATGCACTGCATGACGTGACGACGCCGTGGTGAGAACAAAACCCTCGCCGTCCGTTTCTTTTGTTTCGCCGGGAACCTCGCGTGCAGGCACTCTGTACTTGCTTCACGCGACCTGGAGTTTTGCTGCATCTGGCCCGGCTGCGTCTCGTGCCCGAACCCGTCCTCACGCTGCTGCAGGACTGTGCTGGGTATATCGCAACGTGACAAGTGACTTGACCGTTTTCCTGAGGCGAACCGGTGCTTGGGTCCTTTGCTTGGGAAGCTCGGGTGGGGTTTGATTGCTTCTTCGCATTCGACTTTGTCCTGGCATACTCACTGCACGTTGGTAGTCGGTACTCGGTTGCGCACGCCCTGCCGCTGAACCGAGACTCACGCATGGGGGCCGGGGAGTTGCAGGACCCAAGGTTACCTCGAGGAGTGGCACAGCATGTTGCCAGCCAAGCGTTCGGGATGCTGCCAGCCAAGTGTTCGGGCTCGATGTTGCATCTTGAAGGGGGGGACGGGGCTGGCTGGCTGATGATGGCTGAGTGCCGAGTTGTCTGTTGGCTTCTGGTGGCTGCTCATGGGCGATAAACCCAATGCTTGCTTCCGGGCCGGATGGACGGCAACCCGAAAGGGCCACACGAGCCATTCTGCTGTGCTACATATTTGCCTGGAAGACAGTATATCGGTTGGCGACAGGACCGCATACGCCGACGGAGAGTTTGCTTCGTGTGGCATATTCTTGGAGGTGCCGAGGAAGAGGACGAATGGTGTCAAGATGCTCAATGCCAGGAAGCGGTTCAGAAATCGTGGTACGACATGCTCGAGTCAGCCCATCGAGGTTCAGGCTAACGACTGGCATCTGGACACCCGGCCTTCCATGTGCAGTCTCAGTCTGCGTTCTGCGTTCTGGGTTGCTTCACAGAGTTCAAGTTGACAGGACGGCCCAAAGCAACACCAAGCTGGGTTGGGTTGGTGGGTGCTCGACGTTTGTCGGTCTCCTGGTTCGAACAGCAAGTCGGCTCCCCAGCGCCGTGGCTCCCACGGCCTTTATCCCTTTATCATCAGACTTGTCACCATCAATGGCAGCAGCGGGGATCCGGCACCATCTGCGAATGATTGGCCTGGCCGCAGATGAGGGAGTGCCCGGATAGCCGATCTTCGGTCTCGACGGGACAGAGGCGGCGGACTTTCCGGCCTACATGTTGCGGAGTTTCAGCCAAAGAAGGTTATTTTGCGGACTTGTGTCGGCGGACTTTGGGCCCACCAATGCCGGCGCATCGAACGCTTCTGCGTCTTACCAATTGCTCGCTCAATCGACCCCGACCGCCGGATGAAGGCTTCTTTCATCTGACGCACTGCCTCAGCATCGAGGTCCATTTCATTGACCCTTGCCACCGTATCCCAATCACTTGACTGAATAGCAGATCGGAAAGAATGAGTGAGGCCATCACAACACCTCCACAGCCGCTGAGAATGCGTGCCACAGACGACGCAACAGACAAGTCCCGTCAGAAAAGCTGCCACGCCTGCGTCCGCAGCAAACGCCGCTGCGATAAGCGGACTCCGCGCTGCACACGATGCGCCGAGAAGGGGTTCTCCTGTCTTTACGTCAACCTTCCGCCTGCAGCAAGCGCCCGCCAGCGCGCGGCGGCCCAAATGTCCGATGCGGCCATGCCGCCTGCCCTTGACAGCTCACCGACGGAGACGGAGCTCGATGCCATGGGGATGCAGTCCGATCATGACTACGACCTTGATCCCATGCCAGAGTGCACACCCGGACCCCAAGCCAACATGGACACATTGCTCGACGATGTCAACATGCTGGGCGATGCTCCGCTGTCTTTCGACTTGCCAAGTTTTGATTTTAACAACCTGATGAACTACATGACTGTCGATCAAGAAGGCGGCAGGATGCAATTATGGCACACGCAAGACGCTCCCAAGGCAACGACAGTCCGCCTCGCGACACCGCCGCCTTTGGACCGAACTCCTTACCATTCCGCCAGCATCGAAGGCGGTAAGCCGCAATCCTGTGTATGTTCTCCGCCGTACCCCCTACACTTGGGTGAATCACACGTTCGCTCATAGTTTTCAGTCTAATCTTAGTCCCTGGACCATACACGAGCCAGGTTCTCGCATCGGCTTCGTGATTTCTAGTTTCAAGGATTTCCCCATCCTGCTCGCCCGCGAGCGCGAAACACCCTTCCTCCATCGCCACCTCTACCGCGCCCAGACCCCGCGTGCCATGCTTACCGCATACTCGGTCGCGACTGCATACGCTAACCGTACCGACGCCAACAAGGCCTGGGCCTTCCGCCTGCTCTGTGAGGCTGCCGACGAGCTGGTCGGGCGGCCGGGCCGTAGCCAGCCGAAGGATAAGGGAGTGCCGCAGGTCCCACAATTAGAAATGACAGTACCGGCCCAGTTTCTTACACCCATGGACAAGCTGGCACGCACTCAAGCGCTTCTCATCTACCAGCAGGTCCGCATGTTCGATGGTGATATCAGCCTACGCGCGCAGGCGGAGCACGACATGGGTAAGCTCGAGGACTGGCTTGGCGATCTCGAGAGGTATCGCGATAACCTCGCTGAGCAGTGGCTGCTCGAGGAGAGCACGCTCCGCGAGAGGCCGCCACGGTCTTGGGAACGATGGATCTTTGCCGAGTGCGTGCGCCGGACTATCATGCTCGGCGCCGCGTTCATCGCCATTGTGAGCATGCTGAAGACGATAGGCACGGGCGAGTCGCCCGACCCGAGCCAGTTCGCGGCCGTGCACCGGTGGACGTCGTCCAAATTTCTATGGGAGGCCGACTCGCCCCTCACCTTTATGACGGCGTGGCGCGAGAGGCGGCAGTACATTGTGCAAAACTTCTTCGTCGAGGAGCTGCCCAAGACGATGAAGGCCGCCGAGTTGGATAGCATGACCAGGCTTCTACTGACGTCGTGAGTCTCCATCCGCCCTGCCATGCCCTGCCATGCCTGTCTTGTCCCATTCTTTGGGCGAGACGGGGTTGGGCATCGGAGTTGAAGTTTCTAGTGTACTAACTAATCTACAGGTTCATCGGTGTCGACGAGATGGAGCAGTGGATCAGCACCGGCGGGGTCTTCACCGAGAATATAGATCACACAAGAATGTGAGGCCGCAGGGCCGATGATCCGGCGAGCGGATGTATTGATGGATGGACGAAGAAACGAGGTCTAAACGACAAGGGTTGTCTACAGGTTTATGTCTTGGAAGCGGGTGTTGGCTGGTCTCGTTTTGCTGTTGTTTTTTTCTTATTTCTAGGTTTCGGGGGGCTGCGGTTCACATGCATCATGTCGTGTGTATTTGATGATTGATGCCTGATGTTTCTTCCCTCTTACTCTATCCTTCTTTGCTGCCCCTGTCTGCCTGCCCTCCCGCTTGTCTGTCATCTGCTGCCCTGCGTGATCGGGTTACCCTCAAGAACCACGGGCATTTCGACTGCGAGACATCTTGATCTTCGGTTGGTCGGCAGGGTGTCTCTCGGGGACGGCTCGCGGGAGCTCTTCCCTGAAACACAAGTCGCGGATCCCGACGAAAAAGATCGGGGAGGCAAGGTGTCTCGGTAGTTGAGAGGCATGAATGCGTGTGTGTGAGAGAGAGAGACAGGAACACGCATTGATGGAGGTACCGCACACACACACACACACACAGTCTGTCTCTGTCCTTCTCTCTCGCACGGGGGTTTGTTGGTTCACCGCCAGACCAACGACTGACCGCCGGCGCGGGACGTTTCTCACATGTACATGAGATCAGTTCGCCGATCGTTCTGCTTCTCCCACACCCCCCCCTTCGGAGATGCCGCATTCATGTGTTGCGCCTGGAACCACCCGTGCCATGTGCCGTGGTACTTTGCCGTTACTTCCTTACCTTGCCTTGCTTCGCCTTGTCTTGCCTCATTCTTCTCGGTGTTGGGGGACAGATTGTTGGGGGCGGCGGTTGATTCCGCCTTCTGTCTCCGTGGCGAGGTCTGCTGGCTATGTTCTGCTGTCCTAGGGGTATCGGTCACACCAGGCGGGAAAGCCACTAGAAGGTCGAACATGCCAAGGTCTCTTCCTGGTTGGAAGTGCAGTCAAGCCGTGGATGAAAGCTAGATGTGCTGTGCTGGCGGGCAATGTAAAACGAAGCGGTGCAACGAGTAATCATTCAAGTACATCCGAGACGATTCTTTCGAGCCATTCACATGATACCAAGGTCCCTCGATTCTTTCGGCTTGTTGCAATCACAAGGAATATCGTACATCTGAGGGGCATGTCAAATAGTCCAAGACTGGACAGGATACAGAGGACTTGTATCACCATCGAGTCAGATTCTTGATCGTAATGTCATTGCCCGATCATAACCACCCTTTGGTGCATCATGAGAGATACATGCTCGGCTGAATAGTCCACTCACCAGGAGCAAGAGAAAACCAAGAGGCTAGCCAAGCCGGCTGAGCCCACACCTAGGGTATCGTTGCAGAGATGGCCGGTTACCGACCCTCTTCCTCCTCTCACGCCTGTAGGGCCAGGCTACGGCAATTTCTTTTGTTCACCCGCTGAGCCCGTAGATCACTTGACCGAGATGAAGCCCAGTCCTTCTCTCGCCCGTCTGACCGCCTTCTTGAGCGCTTGATCCTCTGCATCTGTCCACTTGACGCTCAACTGATCCCACTTCTTACCCGGGGTGTTGTATTCTTTGCGCCACTGTGCGTGAACCGCCTGCATGCGCGCCATTTCGCGCGGATCGCCAGAGCCTGAATAAACCATGAAAGCCGTGCACTTGGGCAGAGCCGCGTGGATGCGCCCTAGCCTCTCCGTCAGGCGCGCAAGGCATCGCTCGAGGGGCGGCCTCTCATCGCCTGGTGCGGCTTCGGGCTCGACATCGGGCGGCCCAGTGCCGCCATTCTCGCCGCGGTTGCGATTCCACCACCCCTGGTGCGCCTCGAGCTCGCGCATTCGTGCCCAAACAAAGTCGACACCGCCACCACGAATCACGGCACCATCGGGGTCGCCCTGGACGGCACGGATGACGCCCTCAGTGACTTCCTCGTCGGAACGGCAGCCGATCTGGTGAGTAGCACCGGCGCCAGGACCCTTGGACGGGTCGCCCCAGTCAACGGCGGCGCTTGTCTTGCCGCTGACGACACCACCCTGTGCTGCATCACCTCCCTGTGCCTTGTAGGATGTGCCTGCCCGTGCGAGACGGCGGAAGAGATTCTCGCCTTGCGCATCGGAGCTGCCCCAAAGTTTGCCCTTTTCACACTTCTGACGAGTCAGGTCGAGACAGGCGCGAGCATCCTCCACAGGGTTGTGGCCGTTGGCTCCGCCGCGCTGAATCTCGCGGTTGAGGTACTTCTGCGTAAGCCACTTCAAAGAAGACTTGAGAGGCGGGCCGCGAGGGTGGGGGAAGATGAGGGATGTGTCGACGATGAAAGGGTGAGAGAGGTGGAGAGCCTTGAGGTCAGACTCGAGTGAGTGTCCGATGAGAATGGTGCGTGGTGTAATGAGGTCGAGGAGCTTGTTCTGAATGTCGCGCAGTGTTGTTGTGACTGGCGCAAGCATGGCTTCGGTGATGCCAGAGAACTGGGTGACGTAGTTGGTAATAGGTTTGTCGGGCTTGACGAGCTCGTCCATGACGACCTCGCCGGACCAGGAGATGACGCTGATCCTGGTAAGGGAGTACTCGCGCTCGCCTGTCATGCACATCTCGCAGTCCAGAGCCAAGCATTCCCGGCCGGCTGTGACGCTGCCCTGCTCAACCTCAGCCTCGGGCACGTCAGCGTCTTCGAGCTTGTCGACTCTCGTGACGACCCATCCGTCAGGTGCCTTGAACGCGGTGCGTTTGGCCTCATCGTCGACCAGGGCCGGATGAATAAGGTGGCCGTTGGCCTCGAGCTCATCAACCGAGGCCAGAAACTCGGTGATGCGCGTCCGTTCGTTCTTCCAGCCGTTGGGCTCCTTGGCGGGCTTGACGCCCTTGTCCTTGGTCTTGGCGAGGGGCGCCGTCAGGAAGGTGCCCATGGGAGAGTGCAGCTTCATATGCTTGTCGTCGCCGGGCGCCCTCACAGGCCACAGATGGGGGAACATGTCGAGCCACGGCTGCAGGACCGGGGGGAGGTAGTCGGACTTGAGCAGGCGGGGGTAAAAGTCGTCGGGTGTCGTGATTGTCCGCTCCTCATCCTTGGTGGAAGCCGAGTTGTATGTGCCAAAGTCCACCTTGCCGGTGAACATGGCTTCTTCGAGGCCAGGTATCATGAGGACGACAACCTTGCGGAACTGAGGTCGGTGTTGGACGGCAATCCATGTTGGCGCAGGACCGTCGGCGAAGATGTAGAGGCAAAGGTCGCGTAGCTGGGAGACGTTGATCTTGGAGAACAGCTTGGCCGACGAGGCGAAAGCGATCGAGGGGTAGGAGGAGGAGCCTTCCTTGGGAACCTTCTTCAGTTTCTTGTTGGACCTTTCCACCTTTTGCCATCCGCCGCCGTCTTGGTCCCCATCGTTGTCGTCGTGGGGCGCGGCACGTTTGAGGCTGGTACCGCTACTTGCGCTCTGGTCAGAGCTCTCGCGAGCCAAGGCGGTTCCTTGCAACTTGCTGCTGGCTTCGGCCTCAGCCTCGGCGGCGGCGGCGGCTGCTTGGAGCTGGGCGATGCTGTCCGCGATACCGCCAGGGCTCAGAGCTGCTGTCGCAGCTTGAGCGGCAGCTTGTGCCTCGAGCTGGAGACGCTCAGCCTTTTGCTTTCTGTTCTTGCCCATGATGGTGGGGCGCGAAGTCGAGGGGAGACGGGGAGTCGCTAGAGCAGTGGCTGCCTCATGGGTGTTGAGGGCAAGGCTGGCGCATGTGGTTGTTGCAGGTTGTAGGATGTTTTTGGGAGGCAAGTACGATACGAATTGAGGTAGGCACGGGCAATTTTTCTGCGGTGACGAAAGTGCAGGTACAACGGGCAACAAGGGGATGCGATTGCTTATTCTTGACCCAGATCCAGTTGGAGGCAGGTGGCAGGGGTGTGCGGGCCTTCTAGCGCACTTCTTAGCGCCTTCCTTCTCATGCAACTTCACCCAGGGCCTCGGGGCGGTACGGGGCATGGCCTCACCAGAAGCCTCTTCTGATGCCCCCTTACAAGCCAGTCAGCTGACAAGCACTACGTGTATCTGAACCCTTGACTGTCCTAGCGTTCGACATTGAACTTGTCTTTGCTTTTCGGGTCCCTCCATGTCTGTCGCCAGAAGATGGAAACGAAGGGCAGCGGAAGGTAGATAGATGCCTTGCAAAATTCATGAGCGGCGGTCAGCCCACTCAAACGCACGCTGTCCTTGTCACATCCCATCCTCTCTACTACGAGAAGTACTCCCCGTGACACTCACCGGTCATCCAGATGACTTATTGACAATGCATCTACATCGGACGTGTCTCGTGGGAGAATCGCAACCACTGCCCGGTGCAGACGTTGTGGGACAAGCAGGCCAACAAAAGGGGTGGCCAGGTGTTACGACACCATATACACGCCTTCCCATGATGGACTTCTTTAAGGCTCAAAAATTATAGACGTTCTTGTCCTTGGCAAAATCGACCGCCAGCACTGCCTTCCCCAGCTCTGCCAGCAACGCCATCGGCTTGACGACAGCGAAGTCAAAGAACTGTGCCATCTGGCTGGGGTCGGAAGCCCACGCCCTGATCATGCCGTTCTCACGGTCCCTTCCAGGGAGCGCTTCGATCTCTTGCAGCTGCTCTCGGTACAGGAGGAAGAGCTCCCACTCCGGAGAGTGTCCCAGCGGGGCCCACTTGACGACGAGCACCAGCACCATCTGGCAAAGAGACATGTAGTCCACGTTGGTCAGGGCGCTAGACTTGGCAGCCGGGAAATCGGTGTATTTCCCAACCTTTCGGGCAAACGAGGGAAGCACGTCGCCCCCTGGGGGGATGCCCAGAAGAATATTGGCGACGCCCATCAGCCCCTGGACCCTCTGGACGTGGAAGGGCTCCACGTATTTGTAGGGATCGCTCTCGACGGCAATCAGCGAGGCAACGGCCAGCGCGGCCTCGGACTTGTCGACAGACTTGTAGTAGGTCAAGGCTTCTTGCAGGAAGTAGCTCGTTGGCTCGATAGCCCACCTGTCCGAGTCGCCATTCGTGGCCG